GAGCAAACACAAAAATGAGTTCGAATTGTTTAATAAATATATAAATCCGCGAAAGTTAGAGTTTTAATAATCCAGTAAGTGTAACAACGCGTCGAGGTCAAAAGTCGTCGTCGGAGTCAGCAATTTGTCGTCGGGATCAGCAAGTTATCGTCAGGGCTCACCAATTTGTTGCGTGTTCTATTTGACTAAATGAGCGTACACGTATTTCCTAGTACTTCTTCACGTTTATCAATGTGCGCAGACGTTGTGGCTACTCGACGCCCACAACGTAAAATCAGAAGGCACTTGTGAAGAGTGTAATCGTGTATTATAGCCGTAGTCAAATTTCGAAAAAGTATCAAGGTAACGTTCAACAGTAAATTGGCAATTGTTTACGAAGTACATATAAAATCGGTATGTGTAAACATATAATATGAGTATGCAAATTAGATTAAAAACGTATGTTTATAGTTGGTACAGGGGTACTACAGAATAAACTCTTTAGACCAAGAGAGCATTGATTCACATGTGTCAGTTTGTTGTAAACTTTCACTATCACTGGAAGAAGTGAGTTATACAAAGCTTTGTCCAATAATAATAACACATATTTTCACACAAACAAAATGAACACCTGAAAAGCCTTCTGATTTTGCAGACACAATGAAGCATTTGCTAATTTGTCTCGTGAAATATTTGTGCAAGAAGGCATCTCTACAAGTAAAGTGATTATCCTGTAAATGGCAGTGAATACTAGCTATTCGAATTTCTGCCAGAAAATTGCCTTGTTCAATTTAATTCATGTGGACAGAATTTCGACCCCATATCGTGGGAAACATTCTTATTGGTTATTAAGTATTTGATGGGCATCACTGGTTATATACTATTGCTATATAGGAAGGATTTTGCGGCTGATAACGACTGAGGTGCATAGGTACCTGACGGCAATATCGCAATATTTTGCGTTTTTTATGTGACTCACCCTACACAGATTTCGCCTCATTAAATGATGTTATCACATCCCCAGAATAAAATTTCCCACAATGTTCGACTGGCAAGGTTTCGGCTGACTGTACGTAGACAATTATAAGTTTTGTGGTTAGTATTAGATTTGGTCTCAGCAACCAGTTTTATTGGTTCAGATCGAAATGTTTGGATTTTAGTGGTTACGCACTTTTCGTTTCCACATTTATTATAAGCCGTTGATTGCAGTGTCTTAGATATCTTTGCACCTAATGATCTCGTCTACTGGTCTCAGTCAGGAACAGAATTAGTCTTTTGCATGTGGCAATGCCACTGTTACGCTAGCGACAGACGCTCCTAAATTGTCTGCAGCAATTTTCTTGGTGCTACCCAGCTAATGAAATTAGAATATGGTACCCACACCTGCAGAGAGATGTATGTAGGTGGATGTGAAAGTGAGATATTTATTAGGTCACAACCATGTATAACACTCCCCGGTACTTCCTTCAAAATGGACAGAGACTAGATAAGATGAATCATTCCGAGTATCGCCAATCTCAGGGATCTTTGTGATCCCCCAAAAATGCTACTCTTAAAGAATGTTAATATGGGGGTCTTTAACTCACAAGTATCCTGGATCAGAGAAGGGAAATGCTCACGAAGATAAATCGCATATAACTTTTTGTATAGGGGCATTGAAAGATGTTTATATAAGGTTGATGTAATTCCTCACATTTATTAATGATCTGCTCGGAAGACATGATGTTCTTCAAGAAAATCACGAACGAATCTCACAAGTGCTCCAGGCTTAATTTTCTCTTAAAGTGGGTTCCTATGGCATTGACTATTGTCTGAGACGAACTCCGCTTCATCAGCTTGTAACTTAACGTAATCGCTTAACGATTATGCAAGACTGAAATTATATGTATTCTGTTCTTTGAGGTCTGGAAAACTCTCGACAAATGTACGAGGCAGGTTAATTCAGATCAGTAGCTAATCTGAAACATTATGAACCATTTAAAATAACCTTGGTCCTTGACGAGCTATTGGATATGTGTGCTACTTGAAACTCATTTCTCTGGAGTTTCTGGCGAGGAAATGGTGGAATTTATTGTAATTTTACTTTCGAACACATCCGGTGGATATAATCTTGTTGACCATAACTACTTACAACTAACTCTTTGCTTATTTGTAATTGTCAAACACATTGAGCGGATACCCATAACAATCTAATATCTATAATCGTGATTATTATGGAATTTACATGCCCAAGTCGGCCCAAGTCAGTGAGTCTCTGGTTTACGTATTGTTTTCGGAAATTATATTTTAGCGTCGTACTTTTGCTCCAAATTTTCAATATCACTGTCAGTGATCTACTCCAGTTACCCAGAAGACAAACATGAGCACACCGAGGGCATGACTATCATGATGTCACCAACGGAAATTAAGGCCCTGGTGCAATAGGAGGTGATCTCGCCCAGGATAATGACCACTAGACTCAACTGAAAAGGAAGTAGAGTGACGATTATACGGCGCTATGCATTCACAAACAACGCATGTAACAATATACAGTACTCCGATAAGTGACATTAAAATTCCAATAGGGGTTATGAACGCCAAATCGGGACCAGGAAACACAGGAAGAGAGCTTATCATGGATCGAGTAGTACTCGGAGACATGAGTGAAAACGAGGAACTGTACACAGACTTCTGTGAGTTCAATGAAAAAGTGATTAGCGGCAGCGTATACATGCACAAGGAAATCCACAATGCTACATGGGTGTCACCAGACGGGTGAACCAAAAACCAAACTGAATTCATCTCAATGCTGCTCGAAAAAGTGGAGACGCAGCTTACTGGACACAAAAGTAAGAAGAGGAACAGACGTTAGCTCAGACCACTATCTCGTACAAGGAACACTCCAAATCAAATCAAAAGCTTTCAAAGAAACAGGAGCTGCAGATAGACCACAAGCCAATTTCAATACTCAGAACTGAAGGATCAGGCCACAAAGAACATCTTCACTGAAATCATAAGGAAAAAGGCGGAGAGACAACTCAACACAAATGAAGAGACCAGCGTTGAAAAACTGAGATAACGTGAAAGGTGTATAGAGTCAAACCTGCATGGAAGTTCTGGACAGAAAGACGAGACAGGACAAACTGTGTCTCACTAAAGACACATGGAGACTAAAAGAAGAGAGAGGGATGTTGAGACAAAAGATTGTCCAGTGCACCGATGAGTAACAAAAACAGGAGTTGAATGCAAGCTACAATACATTGAACGAAAGTGTAAAGAAGAGTGCCAAGGGAGACAAAAGAAAATATTATGAAGCTATGGCGAATGAAGCAGAAAAAGCTGCAGGCAATGGAGACCTCGCAACACTCTACCAAAGTACTAGGTACCTATCGGGGAAGAGATCAACACAAATTAAGCCAGTGAAGGATGACAAGGGGAAGTCAATCACCAAAGAGGTGGAGTAGAGGAAACACTGGGCTGAACACTTCAAAAGACCTCTAAATCAACCGCCACCTTCAACGCTCCCAATAATACCAACAGTGGAAGCAGAGCTAACAGTGGAAATCAACCCTCTGACAAAATCAGAAGTCCTGAAGGCAATCAAGATGCTAAAAGCTGGAAAAGCAGCAGGACCAGATGGAATCCCAGCAGAGGCATTGAAAATGTACCCCGAGGCATCAGCAGACTTGATGACAACCACTTTAAGAGTTTTAAACGGAACTTACATCATAAGTATGATAATGGTCGACACATTTAGCTTGGCTTTATACAGACAACTGAATGACAGAGGCTAATGCTGTCTCGAGCTAAAACAACTTCTGTACTACGTCATTAAACAAAAACAACAGATCCATGACATATAAAAGAGCTGAAATAGCCCCCATCAGTACCACATTCAACTTGTCCGAGCGACTCACAGAAACTATTCAAAGTGTTTATGGGGGCCACAATCTACCACATTCCCAAAGGTGGAAATTGGAGAAATGGTAGGTTTTAACGATCTACATAGTGAATCTCCGTAGAGTCAAAGTTATCACAGAGACCGGTTGATGGCCATATTATACAAAACCCTGGTGGAAACATCGCAATACATAAAGGATAACAGGGAAGAATTAAACAGCTTTCATCAGGATGGTATTTGTGGTAGCTGTGATAGAAAAATTCATGAAAAGAAATCATTAGTGTCCAATTATGTTCAGAGTCTCACAGTTTTATTCCAGGACGAATAATTTACTCAATGTTTCCATACTATTCGATCTATCTGGTTCATTCTGATACTAATCATTTAAAGTTTCGGAGACTAATGAGGAGTTTAGAATGCTCAGAGAGCCTACAGACTGACCTTAGAACTTTAGAAGAGAATATCTTTTTACGTCACAAAATTCATTGCTTTGCTACCACACACACAAAAGGCTACTAACAAATTCTGAGCAGTGTCTTTGTAAAGAAAAAGTCAGATAAGGTTGTGAATTGTTTGGGTGGCACGGCTAGTAAATATTTTGTTATAAACCGCAAACCTACATCAGGTTTCTCGAAACCAACGTGATCGCACGTTGAAGAGCATAAGTATGTCATCGCTGTGCAGTCACTTGTAATAAACAACAAACTTTCATAAGAAGTGCAGAAAAGATTTGTGAGGTGGGTCACACACAGCAAGTCACATGTCGAGAAGCTTCGGAAACTATTTTTATTTTCATATAGACACTGATCAAAACACCGCTTACAAGATAACGAACAAAGAAGTCACCGTCAGGTCGGTAAGGACTCCTATGTGGAAAAACCTAATATTTTATTCCCTAGGGGCAGAAATACATGTTAGGCAACTTTTATTCACACATCACATGAAACTGTTCAGTATTAATAATAGATTCAGGAACCTCATAGATAGCTTTGAACAGAAAACTGACGATTATGCGAAAACCCACCAATTTATCCAAACAGCTTACAATTCTGTTGATAATTAAATGACAGTCGTAGGTAATACAAGCAAAACATGAAATAGGATACCATTCAATGAGAATCGGATTGGCACTCAATACAAAGTTTTTCGCTACTTGAAGGTCGAGTGCGTTGCAGTTGACCTTTCAAGGCTACTGCTTACTTCACTCACTTGGTGTACGGTCGAGTAACTTTTAACCACTTGAAATATATTGGTATTATAGTCTGGAAAATAAATCGTCATTCTAATGTAAGAGGAATGAGAACACGTGTGTCTGTGATAACATACTGCATATTCAAAGTTGGGTATTAAAGGAATATATGGGATTAAGTGTTATAAATGTCCAGCCATCGGCCAAATATACCTCCAGAATACCCATAGAGTAGCTGTTCTCAGTTTCAAGTGAGATTGTTTTCATGTTCCACGTATTCATTCTGAGGAGCCTCGGATGACTTTCCCGCATGAAGTATTCATAAGCATATAGGCGGGTTGTATTGTTTGTTTTAAAGTGGTTTTTACAATTCTTCGGGACAATCATAAATCGGTGCACATTTAAGTTCGCGTGATTTCGGTTTCTACCATATTGATGGATATTGTGACCAGTCCTCAATAATACAACTCAACATGCCAGATTATTCTACTTTTTGGGTATATATTAAACTCGTATAAATTTTTACATTTATTGATAGTACTTTTCGCATTACTTTTTCATCGCATCACAGTAGTAAACTTATGTTGATGACTTCATTTGCCTAAATATGTAAAATATATTACAGAATTATGCTTAGTAAAGTAGTCATGCCAATGAATTATGTGACAGGAAATTCGCTTTGTGTTACTAAGAGTATACACAGTACTAAGAGTCGCTGTGCATTTTTATCAAGAAAGATCTGCCTACTTTTACATTGTCTATTAATGTAAGAGTAGAATTTAGGCACCTTGATAGCATGATTTCAAATGAGGTAAGTTTATTCGATATACCACACAATGATACAGGAATAATAACTGGATGAAGTTTCGTGCACAATTTATCGCTCATATTCATATCAATTTATGCACATGTTTTCAGAATGAGCTTAATGTATATTTTTCTCTCCTCTTTGTCACCTAATTTAACTTTGCATATATTCGGTATGTGTTACGTGTACAAGAGACTAGAGTAATGAATTTATTTGTACTCCCCTTGTTACTAGAACATCCTGTTGTTGACGGATTTTAATGCTAGTTTTGGTTTAAGAAATATGACAGTGTTGGTCAAATGAGTCTGTCCTTTTAGGTGTCAAAAAGTAAAGACTTGTCCAATACACTTTCATTCCGTCTTAAAATTGGCACGATTCTTTCGAATTTGTTTTCCCAAAGCTGCAATATGCACCCTAAAATCCTAGATGTTATAGTTTTGAAGCTTCTGATGCCGAGACTGTTGCTGTTAGATGTGTCCTCGCATACGATGGAATATCGAAGATTGTACAATAATGTCTGGGAAACACTATATTCATACACACCAGTCTCAGTTAGTTAGTTCGGTTAGTCCGTTGCCGGGATTTTTGAATATCTATGCAGTGGAATTGTTTAAAAATTTGATAAATCACTTTTGTCAGAGCTGGATGATTGATATCTACATCCGGTTCTTCTACAGTGATCACACTGAGCGAAAATCAAATTGTTTGGCATGCGTCTCTCGCTTAAGGTATGCGAGATGATGCTGCCTAACGCTCAAATGTCAAGGATTAGTGTACACATTTTTTATCCAGTCAGTCACAAGTTTAAACTCTATCCAAACTACCTGGATTTCTGCAACGGTATACTATTATCTGTTCTCCTAAAAAAGGTTTGGCTCATTGTTTAGTGCATGTAAGTGTAGGTAATTGAGGAACAACAACTGCAGAAGTCATTTCCTACTGAATTTCTATGATAACTTAAGTTCTATGCAAAATGCATATCAGTCTAGTACTATGAATGCTAACCAGAATTTCAACAATATTGGAGTTGGTGCGTAAAAGTTTGTCCATTGCCTCATACGTTTTTGCCTTTTTTTAAATGTAAAAAGTCAAGTTCTTTCGTTACTTGAAAGAATATGTATGTTGCCTAAAAACTGCAAATTTTACCAACATTCCGCAATCTGGCAAAGAGAGTTATGTGGTCCCTACAGCCATTTATATGTTCAGACCTCAATTAATTTAACCCAATCATCACAAAAATCACCGTTTTTTAGACACTTAGATTAAATTAACCAGAAAAATGTAATTATTTTTCTCAGGGATTTAACAGTCCGAAAATAACAGTCTGATAGAGATGAAGCTAACATCCACACCCGTCTGGGTCGTATAGGTCTATATCCGTCACAGAGGCCTAGATATATTCTGTGTAGATTTCCATGTTCATATGTTTGTCTGAGTATTTTACGTAATGCACTCCAAGAATTTGTTTCAATTTTAAGTAAATGATATCCACGTGGTTTTCCTCTTTTTAGCTATGAAATCGTCTTCTGAAGTCTTACATCAAACACAAATATCGTGATATGCGGTTTTAAAATTCATATCTACCAACAGTTGTTTATATCCACAGAAGGTATTTGGTATGTTATATTCTATATAATGACGCTTGTTTTGTACAGGAATCTTAATCAATTATGATTCCACATCATCGAATTCATATGAATGCCAGAGATGCAGCAGTGAAATCCATTGAAGAATTAGCTCAATACTTTAAAGTAAATAGGTTATTTTCATTTTTTTTTCTTTCACACATTATTACTATTGTTAGGTTGACTTACAAAATGGTCTTGATCACACTGAAGCCCAAATACGACTTCAGTTATACGGTTCAAATGAATTAAAACATCCCGATCCGGATCCATTATACAAGAAGTATCTTGAACAATTCAAAGAACCTATGATTTTGTTACTGCTAGCATCTGCTTGCATTAGTTTCATCATGAAACAGTATGATGATACAATTAGCATAACTGTTGTAAGTTCTTTTCCTCCTGTGTCCTCTTATAAATTCTTCTTTACTTTCAGGCTGTTTTAATAGTAGTTACTGTTGCGTTTATACAAGGCTACAGATCGGAAAAAGTTTTGGAAGCTTTGCAAAAATTGATGCCACCAAAATGTAGTTGGTATGTTTTCTTGTTGCTCCTAATTTTTGGTTATTACTACTATATATCTGAAGAAATTAGTATTTAAATTTGGTATTTTAGTGACATAGATCATCGATCGATGAAACAAACTATAGTACTACGTTTCTACATAAAATTAGTGTTTCGCTTCGTTTGAGTAATACCGATTGCTTTTTAGTGGGTATTATTTTGATATTACAGTTATTTCCTGTCATTGATGTCCTTGAGACATATTTGTTAGTGAATTGTTGGTATAAGAGCAGCTCATATAGTAATCTCGTTATTCTTGATAATATCATGATATCACTCTCTGACTGACCAATTGTATTCGTCCAACTAACAAATGGAAAACAATCGACTATAATAACTATTTTCGCGACATATAGAGTATGTTTGATAACTAAACCCCTAGTAAAGTGTAGCTAAATCTAGTTATTTGACAGACAGATAAATACTAAAAAGACGTGTATATCATTACTCTATATTGGTATAAGTCCCCACAGCTCATATCGATACATTGCAGCAAAAGAAGTAAAAAGAGCATAGTTAAATGTCGTAGCATGCAAGAGGCGAAAGAAAAGCAGGTAAATCTAATTAAAGTATTGTCATATTGAAATGAAAATAATGTTTCACTCACGACTTGATCACTAACTATTTCAGTTTTATTAACAATAACTATCCACTGTCTCCAGCATTATTTTCTTCAGCAGTAGTACGACTTAGTATATCAAATAAGTCGACAATAAATTTCACCTTCATTTTTCTGGTTTTTTATTCTTCCTGACAACTTACAACTGTTAATTTTACTTCATTTCGATATTAATCTTTACCGAAGAGTGAAGTTCAATAAGTTTGTGTAACTATTACTTATTATTATTATTAATCACTGGTCAACTTTTACTGCTAATCAAAGTTGTCCATTTCTGTTACTGACTACTCAGTAGAAAGACCCAACGTGCACATTTATTGTTCGTCAATACCTCTATTACATATGTATTACTCATCAACAATGGATGTAAGTAAATAGACAGCAGTTTAGATTTAGACCAGTAAAATTGTACTTTGTTTGTCTAAATATCTAGAGAGTTGGCACTGCCTCAAAAATCGTTTTTAAAATAGATTTCCGCACTCATTATTGAAAAAAATAGTATTGTAATCGCATGATACAGAGAGATTGCATAACGAAATAGTTTGTGTGAATAATCTAATAGATTAACTCAAAATTTAAGATACTCACACAGTCAAAAATTTTTTTTACTGGATATGAGTTCCTAGTGTATGGCATACATCTCAGATGCAGATTACCAATGCCTGACTCGACTCGTTGTTGATGTATGAGCTTCATCAATATGCATCACAACGTGAGTTGAAGACATAAAAAGGTTGACTGTTTTTGATCATAAATGTCTACGATCTCTTTCTCACGTTAGGTGGTATAATAAGGTAAGTAATGTTGACGTTAGGTGTAGTGTTGGGCAAAGAGGGAAAATCAATCGACGAGGCTATAAAGTTACATAGATTGAGATGGCTAGGTCACGTGCTGCGCATGCCTAACCATCGTCTCCCCCGACGAGCATTACTAGCTGATATAGGTGCAGGTTGGAAAAGAGCAAGTGGTGGCCAAACAAAAACATGGCATCAATCCATGAAATCCTTGACAGTTAAACTGAGTCAGATAGGGAGATGCAGACTTCCGGGTTGGGGCCCTCGGGACTCTAAGAATCAATGGCTGGAAACAATAGGTGACATGGCTCAAAATCGTTGTCAATGGCGGAGATGTATTCAGTCTCTGTAATCTTTCATATTCCTTTCTACCATTACTCATTCTGTTTCACTCTTATACTTGTCAAAAATGTATTGATTCTCTTCACTCATTTTCTTGTCTACCTTTGTGTGCTATTTGGAACGTGGCAACTCGAACTGGTGCACTTCGATGCCAAGTTCAATGTTGAATCCAGACAGACAGACAGCATCACAACTTATAAAAATAGTAACTGTAATTTATACACTTCTCATCACTAATCTGTGTTCACAAGTTTTTAGAATCCCGTAAAGTCATTATCCCATAGTTGGTAAGTTTACTTATCACAACAATCGTAATATAAAGTTCAGGTTTTAATTGCACCTACACCTCATAGGTCTGTGTACTACACTTGGTCATGTGTAAGTTGATACCCGCCTACTTGACTCAGCATTACATATTTCATCGAAAAACATTACTGTAATTAATTATTACACATTCAATATTTATGGGTATCGGTGGTCCAGTGATAGAATAATCGCCAACCCCGAACTCCCGACTGACGCACTCCTAAACCTCGCTTAACCGGTAGTTAACCCGGTATAGACGGGAGGTTGGGTGTGAACCTTTACTTCTGAAACTGCAAAGCCCAAGCTTGAAATCCTATATTCCACTAGGAAAGTCAAGGAATAAAATTATAATAAATAAATTCAATATTTATGCAGATGATACACACTTATGTAGAAAAAAGCGTTGTTGTTGACATTTGCCATTCATAGTTATGCAATATTAGTTTCACTTTTCATCGCTTTAACTGTTTAAACTCTGTAGTCTTTTGAGGACTAAAATATTGTACTACCTGGAATGTAAGGTCGGGTATTCTGTTTATTCGGCTCTTTGAACTTGCTTCAACTTACAGAGGAAATATACACTAGTGCTTTTCAAGAGACAGTTGAACTGTTCTACATTGCTCTTTATACTGTTCAACTCATGTAAAACACACTGAAGTTGAATGCACTTCAAAACATTCTTTGTTTATGATATAACTACTGAAGACAACCCAGTGATGCTAAAATTAGACTATAAGGTACGAAGATTAATTGACTAAGAAATGATCAGTGATCTTACCAATCCGGTAGACATAAACAGTATATTTCTTGCAATCACTTTGAATTATTGTGTTTCATATCAGTACAATAAAATAGCTCACTGGCTCACCTAATTCAGGTTTCTGAAGTGCATTACATAATATTACCTACATATCAGACTGAATTAAGGGTCAAAGAATCGAAGATATTATTACCATCCGTTGTGAAAAAAAAAATAGAAAGCACAAAGGCCAATAGAGATGACAAGATGATATGATCAAAGGATCCTCAATCTTCCGATAAAGGTGTGCGGTCAGTGCACGTGCAACAACCCTTGAAACCTCTTTAATTCTATGACGACTATGTCTTTCTCAGTAGGCTTGCCTCATAGTGGTATGCAGATTGTATTTTCATCTGACAATGACAATTAAAGAAGAACAGACTCGATCTGTATTAGTGTTAATAATAACTATCATAGTTATTTAAGATATACAGGTGCCGCAGCGTAGAAAACAATTAATTTCTCAAAGAATGGTATAAAAGACTGCAACATATAATCACAAATTATTTTGATTCTGAGTCGTATACGATTTTGTAGCCTTTGGACTACGTGTTTTCTTGTACTTTATCCAAACAGTTCCGATGCAAACCTAATACAACTACTTATCGCCTAGTGGTACCTCATGCTGAACTAACTACATTTCTAATCTCCTGGTTAATCTTTACGAAAGCAAATAATGTAAGGAGGGGAAATGACGCGTGCCCTGAATATTCAGGCTACTGTTTTAAGTGAACCTCATTGGATTATGATGTTCACTAAAACCAGAGGCTCCCTAAAGAATAGCACGATCAATTTTTGTCATCATTGAATGTCACCTATCTTATATAAAGGAGAAGAGAATCTGCTCTACCAAAGTTTTGTTAATCCTACCTTCTGCAACCAAGCTAGCACTACATAAGACGTATAAAGTAAGACAGTAAGTTACAGGCTAGAATACCACTGTATCTTTTGAAGTAAGCGTAAAGCTATACGTGAACATCAATTTCTTCGGAGCTGTGTTGATTCCTTTGAACTGTCGCTTCACTTTCATGTTATCCCTTTTCGATAAACACTTGTCAAAGTTTTACTAGGTCAACATACGTTTTGCCACCAGTGCGGATGTTTCTAATTCTTAAGGATAAGGGATTGATTATATTTATCTTTTTGCCCAAATAGGCTCAACTATGTAAATCCATGTATTCATCATTCCAGTTATCGGATCTCCTCTTCAATAAAACATCCAAGAAATGCGATTCTAAGTTGATGTCAAATACTGATGTGAACTTGCTTGAAAGATGACAGTTATTAAACTTCATTGTAACTTCTATGTATCATCCATACACCTTTCATACAGATGAAAACTTTCAGTAGTCTGTTGCAGCATCTCATTTCCCAGGCTGTTATAAAGCACTTTGCAAATATCATCACTACCAATAGTGTCACTCGCCCCTCTTGTTCACTGATAGGCTCTTATATGTTTGAGTAAATGTAAATATTATACTACAGCACTTGAAGATGACTTCGTCGATAAGGGGAGTTTTTTCACTGAATTATCTTTGTTTTCTTTATAATTTAATGGGTATTTTCTGCTGTTAAAAGCAGAGCTTGTTGAGATGGTCTAAAATTGACCACAATATTCTGCTGTATTCACTCTTTGTTTTCGTAGTGAGAACGAATTCACTTCCTATTCTACCTACATCATAAAAACTTGAGTCCTGTCGTTAAACTCATAAAGCTTACAGTTTGCTACCTATATTTGCATGCATTTTCACTGTTAGCAAGTTTATTACTTTATTATCAGTGTTATCGACTAAGTCCCAGCGACTGGAATGCTCAACAGGCTAGCCTCGTAACCTGAAAGTTCTTGGTTCGATCCCCGGTAGGTCCATGTGTTCGTAGTGCTGAAGGGTTGCAAACCAGGACGAGAAAGCTCTTCAGTACTCTCTGGATTTTTCGCTCCTATGTTTCAATAGCAGAATGCTCGCTAACCACACTGTAGGCCAGGGTTTGATTCTCAACCGACTCACTCCTAAATCTCGCCCAGTTTACCAGCCTGTAGTAAACGCTGGGAAGAGGATATGTTGGGTGTGAGGCTAGCGATCAGACCCTATAATGATGACACGATTGCTACTGAAACTTCAAAGCTTAAAGTCCTATTTTCCACTTGGAATGAAAAAAATTATCACTTAGACTATCTAGAATGGTCTAATATGACAGACTTACAATTATGACAGTTAAGACTTGTGGTGAAATTTGGTCATAATTGAAATCGAGACACTTGTTTTCTGGTTACCAACTAGTCAATCTATTGACCCTTGTGTGAAATGACTATTAACTAAGTCTCACCTTATTTTCTGTGTGTAAGTGATTTTTCTATTCAAAAAAATGTGTCTGCTTGGGTATATGATGAACAGAACACACAGTGGTAGAAGTGAAATCACGGGCTGACTAGAGGTCGACTCTCACAGTTTTGTCTGTGTAGCTATGAGCCGGTAAAACAGAAACTTTCGTTTTTAATTCATGCGGTAACCCAGAGTATACTGTGATTGCTCTGTGATAATATGTTAATATATGTGTCCATTTAAGCATACAATATATCGTTTAAAAATGTCAAGTGATTTGCTATAATAACAGTGTAAATTTTCACTAAAGGTTAGAACATTTGCATGAAATCAAACTCATTTTCTTTTGGTAATTACTCTAGAGTCACTGGTCCAACTAATGCAGCTTCTTCAATGCATTTTTACTGCTCCAACATTCAGTTTTGAAAAAGAAACATTTCATTGAAACACTGGACATCTACCCGTATTATTTTGTTCGATAATTCATACTTTATACTCAGAATTTCTTTATTTTATCTTTTACTTTGAAAATAAACTGTCTAGCCTGCGTAATGGTGAAGTACACACATTTCTAGCTTCATATCTTGTTCCTGGTGATATTGTCTGTTTGTCAGTGGGAGATCGTATTCCAGCAGATTTAAGACTATTTGATCTTGTCGATCTAAGAATGGATGAATCAAGTTTGACAGGAGAAACTGAAGCTGTCGCCAAGTCTTCCGAAATACTTACTTCACACTCTCCATCATCAACTGTATCTGATTTAATACAATTTTCTTCAACACAAAATGGTAAATAATTATGCATAAAGCAACATTTTCTATAGCTTAATTATTTCTTTCATTATATTCATAAGTTATTGCTTATACTTTTCCTAAACTTGTGTGGTCATTAATTATCACTGTATTATCATTATATTTTCAGTTTTCAATATGTATGACTAAGCTTCATATAACGCGTGTAAACAAATTCAGATATTATTATTCAGTTGTATTATTTGTCCAAGAGTCATGTGTGTGAGTCAGCTAATCAGTACATAGAAAAGACTCATAAAGTTATATCCAACCGTTAATTGGCATGTTTTTTTTCTAAAACTGAGTTTTGTCATTGTATGGTCCATACTGATGAGTCAGCTAATTTGTCCTTTATCTTCTCAATATACATTGGCTTTTACGGTCTACAGTCAGTGTAAATTGGTCCCAAATGAAAGTAAAGCTTGAGAAGCCTCAAGTTTCTTACTTCAGACGTCAAAAACGGTGACTTCAAGTTTGTTCACGTTCTGACTTCATTTAGAGAAATATTGGAGACCAGAGAGTACTGGACAGCTGTTTCGTCCTAGTTTGGGAATCGTCATCAGTACGCACCCACGACTCCGCCAGAGGTCGAACCCAGGACCTTCGGGTTACTAGGCGACTTCGTAGACCATTCGGCGACTGAGACGGAACCCGGTGATCCATCAGTTCTAACTTTTGCCAATTCGTCAAATATAGTGCGACCGCCAGCCAATGTCATATTGGCGAAGTTTTGTCCTCACTCCCAACTTGGTGGACCCCAACGGTCACGACTTCTCACTAAAACTTCAAGCAGCTCCATCCTGTAGTGAGTCACTGTTGAGCACCAGATTAATCTTCAAGTGTTGGTTTGCAGGAGTTTGACTGGTTTCAAGTCTGATCACAAAAATGAAACAGCTGTCGAGTACTCGCTCGTTTTCAATGGTTCTAACTAAAGTCACTCCGTAATCGAACTTGAAATCAATCGAAACTCTGCAAATTAACACTTGAAAGATGGTGTAATTTTCTTTTCAAATAGGCTATCATCTGCCTAGCCTAAGTTTTATAAGAACAAGTTTTATGCAGAGGTCCGTGTAACTATATATACCACAAGTGAAAGAGGTTTAAGGAGCTTATGCTCGTCCATATTATCAAAGTTACAAAAATTCGTGTTAGGCCAGTTGCAACCCAAAATAGTAATGTCTCTGACTTGTACGGGTATTCTGCAATTTTCCTTGTATTCTATATTGCTTTTATATTAGTTTATAGTAAATTTCGTAATACGTTATCGAATAACATATCGAAATAATGAAAAAAACTTGTTTATTCTAACGATAATGATAAGGAGTCTAAACTTTCGTTCGAAAACTAGCAGGCATTGGTTTTCGGTGTAATCTACAACTATCGCATTATGTAAGTACCACTGTGAGCTAAAACACACCACACGTCACTCAAATCCTAGTGCATGAAGTTCGCGTATATTGTTGTTGAACTGTATGAGATATCTTCCTTACATTTTTTATTAGTAACTAATCTGAATTCATCGTGCTTTAAATATACGTGTAAGGGGTATCGTCTATATTTGTTGTCTAAAAATTCGTACAAAAGTGGTCCAGTTCAAGTGATTAAACTTTTTCCTGTTCACAGTAGAAAGACGCTAAAAATAAATGAAATGCAAGTGAAATGAAAAGAAAGAAAGAAAAGGGTGGTGATGATATCACTGAACAGTATGAAAATAATGTGGTGTCTAAAATCTAGCTGGGATATATTTCCGCTGTTGTCAAGGTCTCGACAGTTTTCTTGAGTTAATGGACTTGCCTGAATACATATGTCTATCAACAAAAAGTGTTTATCGATCACATTGTGTCGTTAGTGTTGTTTTCCTTAAGTTTTTTGTGTATTCATATTTATTCAATTGTATTTTAGTTAATTTAGGAGATAATGAAGCTGTTGAGCGTTTACGAGGATGTCATGATCTAAAAAATATTGGTTTTATGGGGACATTAGTCTGTTCCGGAACCGCGAAAGGATTAGTAATTGGAACTGGTGAACATTCTGAATTCGGTGAAGTTTTCCGAATGATGCATTTGGAAGAAGTAAGCACATTATGCTCGTATAAAGGTGTTTTTATTTTTTTTATCTGTGGAAAATGTAAATTAATAAGTGCTTTGCTCATTGTTTGCATATAATGTGAGCTGCTATTGTATTTCATAGCGTAGAAAAATTAGGACTGTTACTTTCCATGCATGCTTTTGTAATTTATCGAGTTGATATTTCATTCAGTTCGCTAACTGTTAAAGCGTGTCACTTCGACTTATCCAGTTTTATATTAGGCATAAACTAATCATGAAGCTAAGTTTGTTCCCAGTAGGTAAGATATGCATCGCAAACATTCTCACTCATAGTGATCAGAAGACTGTATGTTGCTGAGGTTTTCAGAAAACAGCACTATATTTTCGTTTTCCGAAGTCAATAAGAACACTTGTGATGATAATCAGGTTAAAGTTCAACCAGTTGAGTAAAACCTCCTTTAGGGTGTGCCAACATCTTCTGAATATCACGACTTGTTTAAGTCTGTTCAGATGAGCTTCAGTTGTCTTCACTGCAGGGGATCGTCGAATGACGAGATAAAACGAGAACTGATTTGCGTCGGTTGGATTAAGAACGATATAATCGGTAGTGAACGTCATGTATTCACCGTCAGACTAGTTACTTCTCAACAGCCTAAACCTTTATCATTTTACTTTTAGTTACAAGATGACAGAATGTCTGAAAAAAATACAGAGGTTTGATTTATTTGTTGTCAGTAAAAGTTTAGGGCTAACCCTAACATTATCTCAAACCAGTTGACAAACACAACCGTCACCCTCTTAATTGATTTACCTTGTTTTTTAGGCACCACGTACCCCACTTCAAAAAAGCATGGATAAACTGGGGAAACACTTATCGGCTATTTCGTTGGCTATCATCTTCAGCATAGTTACTATTGGTTTGTTTCAAGGCCGACACATTCTAGAGTTATTGAATATTGGTGTAAGGTAAGTCTATTTACTACTCACCACTCAGTGTTACCTTGTTATTACTGCTCAGGCATAAACCCTATATATATATATATATATATATATATATATACATCATAAGTAGAAACAAATATTTGCATCATTCCCACAGATAAACACTGAATTCTTCGAGAAGTATAATCTTTATGGACTAGCGAAGTGGCATAGGAAATCGTTCAGCTGTCAATATCAGAGATGTTAAAGCTTAAATAATGAAAATAGAATTTTGCACGGGGTTAAAATTATGCTGAAACAGTAGTTCGAATCTATTCAAATATCGGTATAATTATGTGATCACACTTCTCATCAGTAGTATTCACCATTTGACACAGAGCTTAGTAAAGTCTCTTCTAGTTTAGTAGCCGGTCCTAAGCCCGGAAAAGAGGGGTTAGACGTGGAAGAAGTAACCCCATCGTAACTGAAACTCCTTCAAAGGTCAAAGAGTGCGTCGGTGGCACAGTGGTTAGAACTCTCGCCGACCATGCACATGGTCCGGGGTTCGATCCCCTGCCGACGCACACCCGATATCAATGGTCGGCCTGCAAAATTGGGCTACCGATATCACATGCTGAAAATTCCATACTTGTACCAAAAAATACGGTGTGGAATCAAGCTATAATCAAAAAAAAAACTTCTAGTAAAGTCTCAGTATTAAAACAAGTTAAGTTTACAGCATTCAGGAGAATGAATAGTTGAATTATTTTCTCTTATATGCTACGCATTAAGGATTTAAATGTAACAATGCTCTAAAATATTTCCATTTAAGTAGAAGAGAGCATTCATTATCTTACTCCAGTTGTATGCAAGTAATCTTACTCTGTAACCCTTTATAAACACTGTGATACTTATCATGAAATATTTTCTTGATTTCTGTTTGAGAACAATTTGGATAGCGTCACTTACATCGCTTTCTTCTGGATTAGAGTGATTTTATTGCATAACTTTTAATATTTAATTAACTGTGCAACATAAGGATTCTCATTCATTCATTGTCATCAAAATGAAGTGTGTAGAATGAGCAGAAATGAAAATTAGCCCCTAACATAGCCTCAGGATGGTCGGGGGTGGGTGCCTTGCGCTGCGGGTTGGCCACCCCTCCGCACACCTCTTGAAATGCTCCCATATGACCGGGTGTCTTACATAGCCTCTCCTGAGGAAGTCCTACTCACTGCCTTCACGTGGCGGAGATGTTTTTCACCAAAGTGAGGGGGCGAAAGGGGATCCCCGGCGCTCTTCACCGGGTTGACTGCCCATTGGATGACAGTCTAGGGGAGATGGCTAAACCCTGATTCGAAACCTCCAACGACTGGCGTATGAAGCTCACTGGAGCTCACCGGCAGGCGTATGGACAAAGGGCTTGTCGGATGTCCTGGATGTCTGGCCCCATTCAAAAAGGCGTATGAACCGAACTCCGGTCACCGGCTGCCAATGGATAGTGGACTCCCTACTCCACTCCTACTGCCTTGTAGGTCACACTTGGTTGTGTAAAGGCTAGAGCTGCACTCTCAAACAAAAGGCCGAGCGATTCTGGGGACATCACTCGTACCAAATTCCCATGAAACTTTATGAACTCTCTTCATCAGATCGCCGTGCCTGGGCAGCGATGATTCGAGATGTTCATGAAGCCGGCTCATCCTCCCGTATGAGATAGCCGAAGTAAAGTAAAGTAAAGTAACATAGAATTCTTAGCATTAAAAAAAATTTTCCCACGTTGTTTGGAATTTAATCTTATACTATCCGATCAGAGGCAATTGTGTTTGTTAGCATACGTTACTCGTTATCTTGGCAACATGGATAAAAAATCCCGTAAAAGGGATTTAATGCTCTCAGTTTAAGAACAGGCAGTTTCATGCTTGAAAATCCTGTTGCAGACAATTTAGACGTACTACAAATTAATGGTTGACTGCAGATTTTCTAGTAAACAACAGTGATATTTTCACTTTTTTGCAGTTTTGAAATTTGCTTTCTCACTACGTGTAGAAGAACTGGAGTACATTAACAGTTTTGATGTTTCCATGCCTGGGAATAGACTGTTTATGACACCTTCAAAATTTGTCATCTTTATTATTTATTGACTAGTAGTAGTCTCAACTGTCTGAAGTTATCATTTCAATCCTACCAAACAAATTGTTGTTATTGGTTGTTTTGTTTGTTTGCAAATTTCATATTCTTTTTACAAGGGTTCTGTTTTGGTCAGATATTCTTCCGAGTGATTCCCTTCCATTTACAGCTTGGCAGTTGCAGCCATTCCCGAGGGTCTTCCTATTGTAGTAACTGTAACTTTGGCAATTGGACAAATGCGTATGGCGGCGAGAAATGCTATTGTTAGACGATTACCGGCAGTTGAAACTCTTGGTAAATATCAGTTGGTTATAATCTATATTTTAACATTGAAATTATGAAATATGATTTCTTTACAAAGAGATTATTCTCGTTTCTAAATGTCAATATAAGTAAGTAGTACTTGACATACAATGTGCAACATTATCTAATGTTGCGAAATCATACTATGAAACACAGAAAATATTTGTTGCGAATGAGTTTATTTGTAGTGAGTGCATTCGCATCACTTAAACTAATGTTCACCTGTAATTATGTTAGTTGGAAAGATCCACATACATCTGCAGCCAGTTGTTTGATATATATGTGTATGATGGTAATGGGAATTTCGTCAGCAACCAGCCCATTTGACCTGACACAGATCACCGACACATTCAGTTGTTTAATTTCTTATGTTTAAACTAGGAGCAGGTAAAGACTAGTTGTGTAGCATTGTTTCGTGTGTAATAAGTCTAAAACATATACAAAATACACTCAATTTTTCGTTCATTATTATTATTATTTCCTTTAATTCCTAGAGGAACATAGGGCTTCAGACGCACGTCTCCATTGCGTTCGGTTCTCTGCTAGAGTTTTCACCTGGCTCCAAGTCTGCCCATACGCTTTCAATTCTTCTTCACATGATCTCCTCCAGGTCACCCTTGGACGACCAACTCGTCGCTTCCCTTTCGGGTTCCACTCGAGGGCTTGTCTAGTGATATCACATGCTGGTTTCCTCAGAGTGTGGCCGATCCATCTCCATTTCTTCCTGCCTATTTGTTTCACAATCGGTTCCTGGTTGGTTCGCTCGCAGAGATCCCTGTTGCTGATCCTTTCCGGCCATCTGATCTTGAGTATTGAGCGCAGACATCTGTTAATGAAGGTCTGTAGCTTGTTTGAGGTGCTCTTTGTGACACGCCAAGTCTGTGATCCGTAAAGTAGTACTGTCTTCACATTGGAGTTGAAAATCCCGATCTTATTTTTGACGCTGAATGCTGTTGACCTCCACACAGACTTGAGAGTAATGAAAGCTTGTCTTGCTTTCCCGATCCTTGCTTTGATATCCTCGTCAGTTCCGCCTGTAGTTGAAACAATGCTTCCCAAGTAGGTAAAGGAGGTAGTTTCTTTCAGGTTCCTTCCATTTATGCTGATTGCTGTCTGCTGTTGTTGCTGTGGCTGTTGGTGTTGGCCAGGAATCTTCATCACCTCTGTTTTCTCTATGTTCACCTGGAGTCCTATCTTTGATGCTTCTTCTGCCAACTTGTTACTTTTCACTTGCATATCTTCCAGTTTGTGGGAAATCAGACATATATCATCGGCGAAGTCCAGATCCTCCGAGTTCTTTGTGTGAGTCTATTTTATGCCTGTTTCCTCATTGCCCGCTGTCTGTCGCATTATCCAATCTACTGCAATCAGGAAAATCATTGGCGATAGTAGGCAACCCTGTCTTACTCCTGTCTTCACTTCGAAGGATTCCGTGAGCGTCCCGTTGTGGATTACTTGGCATGCAGCGTTGTCATACAACTGTTGGATGAGATGTATTATTGTCGGCGGCACCCCGTAGTAGCGAAGTAGTTGCCAAATCACCTCTCGATCGACGCTGTCGAAGGCCTTTTCAAAGTCGATGAAGTTGAGATAGAGAGGTGACTGCCATTCCAGGCTTTGTTCAATGATGATCCGTAGTGTGGCGATTTGATCAATACATGACTTGTTTCTCCTGAATCCAGCTTGTTCCGGTCGAAGTTTTTCATCCAGGACTTGTTTGATCCTTTCCAGGATGATGCGGCTTAGTATTTTGCTTGGGATGGACAGGAGCATAATTCCGCGCCAGTTCTTGCATTGACTTAAGTCTCCTTTCTTTGGTAGTTTGAATAAGTATCCTTTCTTCCAATCCTCGGGTACTTTGCCTTCTTTCCACACCTTCTCCAGTAGTGGCGTCATCAAGTCCGCTGTTGTCTCTGGGTCCGTTTTCAATGCTTCTGCTGGGATTCCATCTGGTCCTGCTGCTTTTCCAGTTTTCAGCATCTTGATTGCCTTCAGGACTTCTGTTCTCCTCGGGGGGTTGATGTTCACTGGTAATTCTGCTTCCGTTGTTGGTATTGTTGGGCGTGTTGTAGGTGGCGGCCGGTTTAGTAGTCTTTTGAAGTGTTCAGCCCAGTGTTTCCTTTGCTCCACTTCTTTGGTGAGTGACTTTCCGTTGTCATCCTTCACTGGCCTAATTTGTGACGAATTTTTGCCTGAGAGGTACCTAGTTGTTTGGTAGAGTGTTGCGAGGTCTCCTTTGCCTGCTGCTTGTTCTGCTTCATTGGCCATGGCTTCATAATACTTTCTTTTGTCTTCTCTGGCACTCTTCTTTACTCCTTTGTTCAGTGTATTGTAGCTTGCATTCAACTCCTGTTTCTGTTGCTCGTCGGTGCACTGGATAATCTTTTGTTTCACCATCCTTCTCTCTTCTATTAGCCTCCAAGTGTCCGTAGTGAGCCACGGTTTGTCCTGTCTCTTCTTTCTGCCCAGAACTTCCATGCAGGTTTCGCTCCATACCGCTTTCAGGTTGTCCCAGTGTTTTTCGACGCTGACCTCTTCGCTAATGTTGATTTGTGTCTCAGCTTTGTCCTTTATGCTTGCAGTAAAGATATCCTTTGTATCCTGGTCCTTCAGTTTTTGAGTGTTGAACTTGGCTTGTGGTCTATCTGTAGCTCCTGTTTCTCTGAAAGCTTTTAATTTGAGTTGAATTGTTCCTTGTACGAGGTAGTGGTCTGAGCCAACGTCTGCTCCTCTTCTTGCTTTTGTGTCCAGTAGGCTGCGCCGCCACTTCCTCGAGATTGTGATGAAGTCAATTTGGTTTTTGGTTCGCCCATCTGGTGACACCCATGTAGCCTTGTGAATATCCTTGTGTTTGTATACGCTGCCACCAATCACTAGTTCATTGAAGGTGCAGAAGTCGGCGAAGAGTTCTCCATTTTCATTCATCTCTCCCAGAGCTTCTTTACCCATGATGAGTTCCCTTCCTGTGTTGTCTGGTCCAAGTTTGGCGTTCATGTCTCCCATTAGTATTTTAATGTCACCAGCTGGAGTATTGTCTATTGCTGCCTGTAGTTGTCTGTAGAATTCTTCTTTCTTTTCGAGGTCTGCGTTGTTTGTGGGTGCATAGCACTGTATAATTGACACTTTTCTTCCTTTGGAGTTGAATCTGGCGGTCATTATTCTGGGTGAGATCGCCTCCCATGGTATCAGAGCCTTGGTTGCCGTTGGTGACATCATGATAGCCACGCCCTCGGTGTGTGTGTGGTTGTCTTCTGGGTGACCGGAGTAAATCACTGACTCACCTGTTGACAATTTGGTGAATCCGTTTCCGTTCCATCTGCTTTCGCAGATCCCAAATACTTGTATTCCGTATCTCCTCATTTCGCTTGCGATCTGGGCAGCTTTGCTAGTCTCGTACATGGTGCGGACATTCCATGTCCCCACACAGACTTTTTCTTTTGACGCAAGGAGATTGTTCACGCTGAAGTTTCTGTAGCATCTTTGTTTACAGGGTGGGGTTGCTGGCCTCACGCCTGAGTTTAGTCTTCGGGTACCTGAAATAGAAAAAAGGTTAGTGTTGCGTGACCGCAGAGCCCAGGGGACATCTGCTTGAGGCCGGTCACACGCGGCCTGGTGTGTCTCAGTAGTATACTTATCACTTCTGCCCTGTGACACGGCAGCAGAAAGCGCGGTCGTTGTTAATCCGGGCCACGGCCGATCCGGCATGATATTTTTTGAATTCGTTTGGTTCATGGGGTTGGATTGATGACGACTGAGTCCAGCCCCCACTGATACCGTCGCCAATGTATCAGTAGGTTGTGAGGTTTGACAAATTTGGTTGGTGCCCGCTGCTACTATCAACGGAGCTACGCTAGGAACGGTGTGACGACCCAAGTTATCTCCTACTGATACCGTCGCCACAGTCATATCAGTAGAAGTCCGGTTAAGCTGCCGGTCAAATACTTTCCTTGTAATGAAATCAATAAAGAAGAAAGTTAAGGTTGACACAGTTACATCAGTACTCCTGTGGCAAAGGTGAATATTAATGGTGAAAGCGGGGTATCTTTAATGAACACCATCGGTTTTCGTTACGGCAAACAATAACTCTCCATGGCTACGTTGTTTTGAATAGAAATTTACGATCCAGTCATAAAACTTATGATTTTAATTTCCTATAATAAATGCCTTAGAGCGATTGAAGATGGATTGACTACGATCTTTTTGTCTATTCTACTCTCAACACTCATTACATGTTTCTCCTGAAGATATTAATGTTTTCGCAGCTAACTTCACTTTAAGAAAGCGGTCAAAAAAATTATCTTGCGATTATATTCTTAGATGTAATAATATGAAAAGTATAAGTGAAAAAGGGGAAGTTTTTAAAAAATTGTAATTGGATGAAACTAATGTTTTTTGGTTGTGGAGATTATGAGAAATAAAATAACGTAAAGATGGGTTTATTGTGGTCTACCTTCAGCTAAAAAGTCACTGAAAATCAGAATATACTAGGGAGGATTTTTTCAGGTGTAGTTCAGATGTGCTCATTAGTACTCACCGTCTCATTTCCCACAGACAAACTCAAGAGAAACTTCATTGTTATATGTTCTGTGATACAACTTGGCCATAATTCATTGCAGTTAGTGTACAGACGCTCCAACTATCAACCTAAAGATTCAGTGCAATAGGGATTTCATATAGTTCTATAGGCAAAGTTTGATATGAAAGTCTAAGTCAGAAATAATGACGGTTGCGTACTGGTGACAACACTGAATAACAATCATGTTGTGTGAAACAATGACAAAAGTAGAAACACCTTACTAGTGGACTGTGACTTACCAAGTAAATACTAATATTATTATTATTATTCCCTTGAGTTCCGAGTGGAACATAGGGCTTCAACAACACATCTCCACTTTCTTCTATTTTCGGCTGTCCTCCTCATCTTGATCCATGATTGACCATAATCTCTCATCTCTTCCTAACATGACCTCCCCCGTGTCACCCTAGGATGACCCACTCTCTGTTTCCCATTGGGATTCCATTCGAGCGATGGCCTGCATTGCGCGCAGTGTCATTCAATGGTTTCCTCAATGTATGCCCTATCCATCTCCATTTTCTCCTACATATTTGTTGAGCAATCGGCTCTCGCCTGTTGGCTTGTTCCCAGCCAGAGTTTTTTGCTACTTATTCTTTCTGACCGACCATTCGATCTTCAGTATGGAGCCAGCGGAGGCGGCTGTTGGAAATCCTTTCCGCGACACACGTGCAGTGCAAGTTACTGACGCGTATATTTCCCTATATAGAGTGAAAGTCTAATATTGGGCTGTTTTTATGAGTATGAGTGTTCACATATCTTTTTTTTTGGTCGGCAGTTTTCGTTAAGAGTTCTTCAAAGCATGTAGTGTATTAAAAAATTCTTTTTTATCACACTATCATCAGATGCACAAATTCTTTTCTCAAAGCTTATCAATATTTTTTTCTGATTTCTCGAATTAATTTGCCGAGAATTAAATCATTTGTTTAATTCTGTTTATTCAGGTTGTGTGAATGTTGTCTGTTCAGACAAGACAGGAACTATGACAAAAAATGAAATGACAGTATCACATGTAGTAACTGGATCATTAGAAAGATTCACAGTTCCATTAGAATACAGTTGTGACAGTACACCTTCCGTTCGCTTGACTACAGATAATAGTGGTGATGGTAGTTGCACTATTAAAGTGTTTGATAATTTATTGTCAGATAAGATGACGCCAAATAACATCGGTAATCATATGCCTACGCATATTAGATCAGTTTCATCTGGTGAACTACGCACACCTTATTATTATCCACCTGCCTTGGACAGTATTTTGCAAGTAAGACATCTCTTATACTATAACAGTTTTGCAATTTGATGTACACTTTTTACTATTTCCTGTAGACTGTAGTTTATAAATTGTTAATGTTGAACTACTCTAGTGTGCTGTCTAGACAGCCTGATACAGTTTCATGCACGAATTGATTAATATTTCATATACTCTACCACTAATTTCCCCATTAAGATCAGTATTCGACGTTTAAATTGTGTCGCTTGATATATTTCATCCCCAGCTTAAAATCAGCTGGCTGACAGTGAATGATTTAATAGTTTTTGTTGCTTTCCAAACTCTTATTTTCATCTACATTGCTTTAGATGTAAGTTTAAGCATTGCCTCCATAATTCTTGATGAGAAAGAAGTTGAATTATCGTTTGTAATAAGGAAAAAAGGCTGGGAATACCGGGTGTTGCCTCCTTTTTTATAAGTGTCGGTGGCATAGCGGTTAGGACGCTCGCCGACCATGCACATGGTCCGCGGTTCGATTCGCGGCCGACGCACTCCTTTACCTCGCTAAGCCAGAAATAATATTGGTGAAGAGGAAAGGTTGGGCATGAGGCTAGCAACCCCATCCTGTAAAATAATAAAGACTGCTACAGAAACTTCAAGCTACTAGCTTGAAACCCTATTTTCCACTGGGAACGTGAAGGAAAAAAATGTATCAAGAAGTCAGTGTTATGAATAAGATTTGCACTAGTCATTGGAGGCTATCGAATGATATTTACAAAGTCATCACGAATAGTATTTTCCTGTTCACTTTCTTTTTTCGTCGAATGTTTAGTCTTCCTTAAAATGATCAGAATATAAAAAAAGTATTCTACGAATTTCCATTAACAATTTCCGCTTATATATTTGTTGTGTAAGATGTTGACATTCAGTTTAATTGGCTATCTGTTTCCTGCACAGAATTTTCGCTCTGATAAATTTCAAGCATAAATTTCAACTTGATATGATTATGAGTAACAGTTTGTGCTCGAAACGTCATCAGTTAATATAACTGTACAACACTGTGTGATTTATCAAAATAAAATCTTATCCATAATGGACTGATAAATTTCAGTCCTTTCCGTTTTCAAAATAAAGGAGCATTAAATAGGACAAAACTTGAATCCTGACAGTGAAAACCCGGAACTTGAAGACACCAAAAAACACTACAAGAATAAAAAAAATTGTGCCGCTTAACAAATGTTGCAATACTTCTTACTTACATCTTGATATTTTTAAAATTCTCTCACAGATTGGTTGTCTTTGTAACAATGCTACGCTTCGAGGTGATCAGTTGTTTGGACAACCTACCGAGGGTGCAATTTTGAAACTAGCCGCTCAAGTATGTTGATTTTTTTAAAAGCTGTGCTGTGGTTACTGTTACTGTCTAAAAAAATATTCATTTCGATTACTTTAATGCTTAACGAACTCGGTATTTTAGTGAAGCAGTAAATGGACTTTATGTGTTTAATATTACAATAGTTGTGTCTTCTGTTAAGTGGGTTTTAGACCATATAAATGGAATCCAGTTGTGTTTCATCTCAAGTCAGCCTTCTCACTTTCATACCAGTTGTCATGTAAACAGTGTCTCAGTAAATTTCCCCTCTACGTGTTATTAGATCTCTCTTTAATTCATGCCCAGATAGTTGTTCCTGGTTTTGGGCTAGTAAGCTACAGGTACAATTGATTAGCCTTTCCTCTCTCAACTTTTTATGACTTCAGCATTACAATTTCTGTCAATCTACTGACCATTTGTAACTAGAGTTCACAACATTCAATTGCAAGAAAGCTGTTTAAATCTCTTCAATTCACAACACTTTCTCTCAGTATAATCATCAGATCAAGCCGGAAAAAAGTGAAAACACTAAAAAGCGGGATTCAATAAAGTTCTCTGTATAAACCAGACAGTGTAGCATAACTCCTTCACCGTTTTTTTCCATTATGGTTATTATTGTTATCTAATAGTACAATTGCACATCTATAAGTTATTACATTTAATTACTAGAAGTCAGTTGATAGTTAATTCTTCAGCTGAGATTTTTTGATAGTTGACTGTTATTAACAAGACATACTTCTATCATTGGTCTAAGCTGTTTCACACAGTTCTAAAGGTGGAAAATTAGCCATCATCCATTCCACAACTAGTTTCCCGTCTCCATAAGAGTAGATTGTTTTTCTAAAACTCTGTCCTTTATAGAATCTTAATATTATCAAGAAAGAAAAAAGTATTAGAAACTCCAATTATAAAGTTGTAATCATTGTTTTTTTTGACTGTGCACAACAGAATTGAGGATAATCTGTTGTGTTTCATAGTTTTTTTTAACGTGGGATGAAGCAGGTATGCACGTTACCTGCCATTCTGTTGGGCAGGTTAATGTTTTTATTCTGTGAAACAATCATCTTGTAATCAGCAATATTTTGACTAATTAATAATAATATTTACTATTTCCTTTCCCACTTTTGTCTCTTTTTATTTCCATCAATAAAAAACTGAACACTAGTTACATGTACCGGATGAACGCGCCTATTACACTCGCTTACAGGAATGGCCATTTAGTTCAGAATCAAAACTGATGATGGTCAAGTGTGTCCGAAATAATCAGTCATCAGTAAGACGTTTTTCAAGTGTCATATCTTATGCATCATAAAGTATTTGATTTAAACTTAGTTATACTTTTTTTGCAATGTTTTATGAATCGTCAAAAAGAAAATTTTCTTCTCTGTTTACGTCTCTTTCTTATGTTCTATTACTTGAAAATTATTTGTAGGCATTAAAAATATATATATATATATATCGATAGTAACATGCATGGTATCTGCAGTATCATGTGAAATGTCTATCCAAAACTGAAGTACATAATGAAAGCCTAGCTTACAGATTCAAGACTTTTTATGGGTACTAAAGCACTTCATCGCCGTAGTAGACTAAGTGAGGATTCTGAGACGAGGATGAGAATAAGGGTGACGTCAGACTCTTGGCGCAGCCATTTCTGTAACTGGATATGAATGAGAACTCATCGAACATTTCCGAGATAAATAAAAGATCCGTGTTATCAGGGCCTACCAGACGTTAACTCTCTTACCAACTGACCGGGTAGTGCAGATGGTTGCTGACTGGAATAATGTTGTTCAGTGTTTGGAAGTCGTGATAGAAGCAGTTGAGTCTGCCTCTACTCACGATCGGTCAGGGGATTTCGACGCTGCCGATTTCAGTGAAAGTAATAACCTCAATTATTGAGTACAACTGTCATGGAAACCTGCTGCAGCACTACCTCAACAAATGCCGCTTCATAGTCCTGGAGATACACCTCCAGTGAATTACAATATCTGAGACCCATAAATGATGGGTGGTGGTGACATGTATTATATATATATATATACTGCTGTCGAATGTATTCCAGTTGTTGCATTTCTTTATGACATTTTTAGTAGTGTTAACAATGAAACTTTCACTATCAACTCATCATTCTGGGATATAGAAGTCATTCTATTATAACATCATCCTTCAAAGCAAAATTCACTTTTGCATAATGAATATTTCCTTGGGGATAATTTATTTCCGATGTCAATTTCGGAATAAATCGACATTAGTAAGAGAATCACCGAGAACCAAGGTGCACTTGACGGCTATTTTGTCCTAGGTTAGGATTGTTGAACAGTGAACACCCATGGCCCCACCGAGAATAATTTGTTTGATGTCCAATTTTTGTGAATTAAGTATTATTGATACTTAGTCTTTTAATGAATACCTATGAAGCTGAATAAAAAGCTTTCTTCAAGCAATACCAAACATAGTCTCACGTCTGAGCAATCTTTGTTTGGAGCCGAGCCGGTGTTTTAATCACTACGATCTGGTTACCAGGTGCTACTGGTTTATGTGAGCGGTATCCAATTGCTTGTATTGATCACCTAACCATTATCATATATCATCAACAATGCTTGAATTTTTCATGTTATTGATTTGTTGTTGTTGCTCTTGTTGTTTACAAAAGTATTCTCTTACTTCATCTCACTATATTTTAAGTGGTTTTAATGAGTACTGGCATTTACTTTTAAAAGCTTTATGGTAAATCTTACTGGTAAAATTTACTTTCTCTTTATAGTGGTTCATAGCTTTCTTCTTTGGTGATTTGTGAGATTAGGTGTATGCTAGTATATACTTACTTTTACTTTACTTCGGCTATCTCCTACGGGAGGATGAGCCGGCTTCATGAACATCTCGAATCAAGAGAGTTCATGAAGTTTCATGGGAATTTGGTACGAGTGATGTCCCCAGAATCGCTCGGCCTTTTGTTTGAGAGTGTAGCTCTAGACTTTACACAACCAAGTGTGACCTACAAGGCAGTAGGAGTGGAGTAGGGAGTCCACTATCCATTGGCAGCCAGTGACCGGAGTTCGGTTCATACGCCTTTTTGAATGGGGCCAGACATCCAGGACATCCGACAAGCCCTTTGTCCATACGCCTGCCGGTGAGCTCCAGTGAGCTTCATACGCCAGTCGTTAGAGGTTTGGAATCAGGGTTTAGCTATCTCCCCTAGACTGTCATCCAATGGACAGTCAACCCGGTGAAGAGCGCCGGGCAACCGCTTTCGCCCTCTCACTTTGGTGAAAAACACCTCCGCCACGTGAGGGCAGTGAGTAGGACTTCCTCAGGAGAGGCTATGTAAGACACCCGGTCATATGGGAGCATTTCAAGAGGTGTGTGGAGGGGTGGCCAACCCGCAGCGCAAGGCACCCACCCCCGACCATCCTGAGGCTTTGGAGGCTGGTCCGGCGAGGCGGATACGAACCACCGACCACCTAGTATATAGAAGATGATGCTTGCGTTATATAACAATTTATTTGGAGGTCGGGGGGGATATCTTCGGTCAAGCAACAACAGTGCACCATGATGGCAAGCCACCTAACATTGTGGCTACATTACAAACTTGAATGATATAATTCGGTTCACGTTGAACGAAGGACTAGACGAACGACATTAGTTACTGCTTAGTGTCAAATCGACGATGTAGTACTTCTTGATAAACGTAATCTTGAATAGGGTAATATGGGAACACGTGTATGCACACATATTGACATGTAGTAAGTGAAGACATAACAACTGAATTTAGCTTCTCGGTATTCAGTAGCTCATCGACCGATAATTCTCTACGAAATTTTTTCTTTAAGTGGACCCTTTATTCGTAAACCATCAATATGGACCTCAGGTGTCGCTTGTGATAATGACCAATTTAATCTACTAACTATGTACTTTTTTCTTTTCGCGATTCAAATATACTCGTTGAAGTTAAATTTATTCAACAAGGTTTTATTTATTTATTTATTTCGCCCTAGACTTCTGAAGAAGCAGTCTATTTCGCCAAAGGTGCTGTGGATCAAATACTAAGTCGTTGTGCATTTTCGTCAATCTTCAATAATCCTGCAACTTCAATACCACTATCACCTTCCGATCATTCACCTATGTCAAATCGTTATTCCGATAACTGTGTAAAGCCATTGAATTCAGAAATAAAAAAGCAAATATGCAATGAAGCCTCTGCACTTGGTAACTTAGGCTTACGCGTACTAGCGTTAGCTAAAGGCACTCACTCAGGGCAAATGGTTTTCCATGGATTGATTGGTTTAATTGATCCACCGCGCCCTGGCGTAGAAGCGTGCATTAGAATACTCTGTGAATCTGGTGTACGTGTGGTTATGATAACTGGAGATGCTAAAGAAACCGCCTGCACAATAGGTGAGCAGTGCAATTACTTTTATATGATGAAGTTTACTTTTTTTGAAAAGGTTTCTTACAGTTTAATGGCCTTAACGAGGTATAAACTGACTATATGTTATGGAAATGCCTTTAAGGTGTGAATACGACAAACACATTATATGCACGTCTGTGTGGTTCAGTTGACGCTGTGTGACAGTGACGTGTGTGTGTCAAAGAAGTGGACATTATATATCACTTTTTATGTTGTCTGATATATTTTTATCGTGTGTTGTCTTAGTCTTCTGACTTTTGTTTTCTGAGGCACGAGGTCGTGCCTACTTTTTATTTCCTTGAAGTCTTTCTAAACCACTCCAGAGGAAGATATGCTCATGAGTACTGGATTACATTTTGTTCATTTCTTGTCATTTTCGTAAAATATCAGTGTCAATTAAGCTAGATTAACACGCCTTACATAGTATCAAGCAAAAATATCATTTGAGCAGTCCCTTTTTTCTTTCAGGGACTCAACTAGGTGTTACTGTATTTGCTATGAAAATCAAATTACATTCAGTAGTTACTCAAATATTGTGTAGAATACACGGGAAAACTCTAGTTAATCACAATGTTTATTTCTCCACAACATATCACACTTCACTTGGTCACGTAAATATCAAAAACAATACTTGTCTTGAATTCCTTATTTTCTGTGAGACTATCTAGGATAACCTTTGATTAATAGACTTGTGTTGATGATATATGACCTTTGTAGGTGAGGTGACCGCTGGTTTGCTACCAGCCAAGTTTTTTTTTAACCTATTAACACTCCATTTAACAAACTGTTGCTTATCGTCGACACTTGGATGTAAGAACCTAACTCTTTCAATAACTTCATCCAATTCAACTAGTAAGTGAAGTGTCCAGTAGATTTATTCAGATCGAATAGTTACGTATTGAACATTTTATCGCATTCGGAGCTTGTCTGAAATGTCCGTTTCACATTTGAGTAAATTCTGCATTCATGAAGGGTAGTTTTTGAAGTAAAACTCATTTAAGATTTGTACTTCAAATGAGACTAGTAACAATTGAAGTTTATTATCGTTATTATTCATTCCTTGCGTTCCGAGTAGAATATCATTCTCCAACAGCACACATCTCCATTCCACTCAATTCTCTGCTATCACTTTCAGCTATCTCTACGGTTACCTATACGCTTTCATTTCCTCCCCCACATGATCTCTTTCATGTCATACTTGGACGCCCAACTCGTCGTTTCCCAACTGGGTTTTACTCGAGGGCCTGGCACGTGATTTCACTCAGTGTTTTCCTCAGCGTATATCCAATCTATCTGCATTTCCTCCTGCATATTTTGTAGGGCAGTACATTGTCGGTTGGTTCGTTTCCAGAGTTCATTGTTGCTAATCCTTCTTGGTCATCTGATCTTTAGTACGCAGCCAGTGAAGGGAACTGTGGTTAAGCGTTTTCAGTCTGTTGGAGATACTTTTAAGTGACTCACTAAGTCGCTAAACGATTTCATTGGAGTCGACATACCTACGTATGCGTTGTTTTCCTCAAAATTCTATAATTTTTCATTTGTTTCTTCATATCACTATCTTGTTTATATGTTTTATGGATTTTTAAGACTTCTAAAATCGTCATTCAATGTTTTTTCTGTTTTGCTTTTTTTCTCTCCCGTGTTTTAATGTGTTATTGTAAAATGTAGTGACCCAGACCATAAAATAATAATTGAAGCTCTTATTTTGTTTATTTCTAAAGTAATATTTCGTAATGCTCAGTGGTTTGATTATTTTGTTATAATCTTTTAAGATAAATTTATTTTTGTTATTATTCATGATTAGTGAATCTTACTTGCATTGTTGTTGTTTTTCTTTCTCTTTCCACTAATCTTGAAATTCTAGGCTCACGATTATCTCTCTATCGGCCTGGTGATTTGTGTCTTAGTGGCGAAGAAGTGGAACAATTAAGTGTTGAACGATTGAAGTCGATTGTGCGCAATGTCACTGTGTTCTATCGATCTGGACCAAAACATAAGTGTAAAATTGTTAAAGTATGTATCTAAATTCAACTGGATTGTCTTAACAGCTTTAAATGATATACTGTTCGAGATTTCCTATTAAATGCCGCTTGAACTTATTACCTTATTAATCTGTATGTTTCCAAAATTTTTTTTTGTTATACTTAGGCCTTTCAACAATGTGATTTAGTTGTAGCAATGACTGGAGACGGTGTAAACGATGCGATAGCATTGAAGTCATCCGATATTGGAATTGCCATGGGGCGGACGGGAACAGATGTTTGTCGTGAAGCCTCAGATATAGTCTTGTTGGACGATAATTTCGCAACAATTTTAGCAGCAATGGAAGAAGGCAAAGCATTATTTCATAATATAAAAAACTTTATAGGATTTCAATTAAGCACGTAAGTGTACTAGCTTATCGGTTATCCGATTTAACTGAATGTTCATTTTTCAATGAATACTTAGGTTGGAGGATTTCATCATGAGCTGACATCGGTTAGAGAACCACTGGAAAACCTAGGAGTACTGGACAGCTGTTTCGTCCTGGCTTGGGACTCTTCATCAGTGCGCACCCGCCAGTTTTCGAAACAGCTGGCAAGTACTCCGAGGTTTTCCAATGGTTCTCTAACCGATGTCAGCTCATGATAAAATCCTCCAACCAATCAAACAAAATCCCTACAAACCAATACTTGAGAATACCTAGGTGCTGATTATGTGACTTAGTCGTCTTCGTCCGTCTGCCTCTAAACATATGTCATCTTCAATGCAATTTACTCACATATTTTCTTTTTTTATTATAAATGAAAGTCTATTTGCGAGTTACGCATATGCCTGTTGAGTGTGGTCAAACGGATCATCACAAAATGATATCACTTTTTAATCCATCCGCCATTTGTCCAGTGTTGAATACTAAAACTTATTTCTTTATAAAGTGTTGTTATATAAAAGTAGTAGACTAGTCGACGCATTGTTCGTAGTCGATTTCCAACAGCTTGTATTTGTGTTAGTGATGAAAATAATAAAGTTTTCAAAAATTCTCAGGTTCTTATTCATACACCCTATTACTTTCATTTATTTAACCTTACTTTTCTCCCTATTTTTTCTCCTTCCACCGTTGGTAAATATTTTTTTCCATCTTCTTTAAAGAAGTCGCTTAGTGCGATAAGCTTTAGCCTGCTCGTTGATCTGTTTGGTATAAAAAAATGACTAACCTCCTAGCAGTTGAATAAGTTATAGTGTAACTTTCCGGCTATATAGATAAGAAGTATCATATCTTTTTATTTGCAGTATACGTATACTTGTTTCGATCAGCTAACTAGGTAAGGTTACACGTAATCAACCTCATCAGAATGCACTTAATCACTGTTTTGACCAGTTTGTTAATGAAATGATAAATTAAAAGTCGAATGCTATACAACAGTTGAGAGAATCGATGAGGCTTTACGAAAACCAGTGGATTCTAGTGTTCTCAACAAAATACTGTTTATTATAGAGATGATGCGATGCATCCATCAAATACTAGTAAGAATTTTTAGCTCAAAATGAGGATGGAGACCGTTTGCTTGTTCTCTGAGCTTTGATATTTAAATGTGAACGTTTTACCAAACAGACTTACTAACTTATTCATCTCTAACACCTAGATTTCTACTCTGATCGTGAAATACAATTTATCAACGAAAGCGGACGTCTTCATGGCAAGCTTAGAGAATGGCCCACTAAAGGAAACCATCGATAGTTTGTTTATGTATAAAAGATATATAGATGATACCTTCATTGTATGTGATGAAAACTCTTCAACTGCCGAACTTCTTGGAATGTTTAATGGTTCTCACTCATCTTTGCTTTTCACGGTCGAAGAAGAGTTGAATTCCTCATTTCACTTCCTTGATGTTAAGCTAGATAGAAGAGAGAATGGCACGCTGTTAAGGTCGATTTACCGAAAGCCAACATTCACTGGGCAGTACACTAACTTCAACAGTTGGGTACCGTTAGGGAGAAAGAGAAATCTTATTCATTCCTTATGCTCCAGAATTCGTAAAATCTGCTCTGCAGAGACAATCGATAGTGAACTAGATAACCTTCGATCAAATCTCCTTAACAATGGTTATCCTACAAGGTTTATCGAACGTAACATCAAGAAAGAATCCGCCCCTAGACAAATCACAGTGCCAAAGAAAAAACTGTTTATGAGTCTGGCATTCAAAGGTGACACCATTTCGGAATTGATTAAAAATCGTTTATCTAAATGTATTAAACGTACTTTTCCTGCAGCTGACTTGCATCTAGCTGAAATATGATTAGACAATGCGTCAAGGATAGATTACCGCACACATCTATGTGTGTTTACTCTTTTACCTGCTCTTGTGGAGCTGTTTACATTGGACGTTGTAAGCGTAATCTCCGAAAACGTGTAGCTGAACACTATCCAGTCTGGTTAATGAAAGGCGAACGTAGAACTGCGAAGTCGTCCATTTGTGATCACCTGTTAGAGTCAGGTCATTTAGCCCCACGTGATGCATCTTTCAAAGTTATCTACATGGCAAAATCGAATCAGTCCAAAAGTTTACGTTTTCTTCACTTATGCATAACCGAAGCTTTAGCTATACATAAACAGAAACCTAAATTATGTGTTCCTAAAACGTTTTGTCAAACCCCTTTCTTTACCTTGGTCATAGTAATGTTCTTTCTAGTTTTTACTTTATTTTATTTTACCACTTGAATTCTTTCCACTTCACTTCACATCTTCATTCTTATCGTAATCGTACTCCTAATTTTTTCAAAATTTCTAGACAACACTTGACATTTTTAAAACATTTTTGATTTCAACTCACTTATAAAACAATCTTTAATAATTTTGTAATTTATCCAATTCAACTCTACCCCTTATAACATTTTAATTATCCTTATTCTTATCACATGTATGTATATTGACTGAGCAATTATTTAGTGCCACTTAATAACCTTTTCTGTAATATAAATACGACTGTACAGCTTGAAAATGAAGTCGTTGAAAAGAAATTTCTTCGCTGAACGAAAAAAACTGTGTTTTTACTTATGAGTAAATGGGTATTTTTCGTGATTTGAAAGCGTTTACACTAAAGTGATCAAAGTTGCTCAGTGATTAATCAGTATTCGTTCGGATTTGATCTTACTTTATACTGTATCATAAAGTTCTTTTCACTGCATTACTGTTCTGGCTGAGAAACTTCATGCGGATAAGACACTCTGGCTTACTATTGCATGACATTCTTTCCAACTATCTTGAACGATTTAGTTCCTTATATGTAAGATCTGGTTTGCTTTCCACCTCTTTAATTTTATACGTAAAAGCTACCTAACAGATAGTCAGTCCCATGTCAGTTTGGTATACTAGACAGTGACATCACAGAGTAGTGTAAAGTCAAAGGCAGTCAATTCACTGCTTTGCAGTCAGACCTGAAATATTACTTTACTGCATTATGTTCCATTGTTACCAATGGTTATGTTTTTTGTAAACAATACATGCTAAGCGTGTAACAACAGAAGACAAGGGTCAGGCAACAGATCGTTTATTAAGGAAAATCAACACATATTTATAGATTTTAATGTACAGTATTGTAGATTATTGTTAGTAGAAAATACAGTCTTTTGATTGTTTGTTTCTCACAGAAAGTTAACCTTGCATCTCTTTGTGGCAGACAGACAGACATCTCTTTGTGGCTGTGTCAGGTCATCCATATGCTAACTGTATCCGCCTACGGAAAGCCTTTGTTCTCATTTTCTCACCACCAATACTGGGGACATAAACATTGACGTCAATTACTGTCTACCAACTTTGGCTAGCAGCCAGCTCTCACCACAAGCGCATCTAATTTTTATATCTGTAAATAAGCCTTCGGAAATGGAAACAACAACAGCAGAACAGTTAGTCGATAGAGATCATCCTTTTACTTTCTGATCATATTTCTTCCTGCACTGTACTTATCATTTAGCGTAAAAGTGAATTGGTCCCATATTATTGTTTTTACTTTTGCATGTATACCACCTTTGTATCATACTTTGTTTCCTAACATCCAGGAATGTACTCTTCACCTGTGAAGAGATGTGATTTATCCGTCTAGATAATTGATTTACACAAACACTGAGTTCTATCACGTGCATTTTGAACAAATGGATAGTATTATATAATTTTTACACGTTCACATTTGGGTTCAAAACTTAGTTCATTGACTTGTATTCACTTACCAGATTGTTATTTTCATCTAATATAAATTGTAATATCTCAGAATATTTTGGAATATTTCCTTTGGATAAGTAATCTACATTGTTTTGTTTAACAGTGTTGTCCTACTCTTCTCCATGGCGTTGTTCATTACAATTCAGTAACAGATAATGCATTGAACATATATATTCTCCTAGTCATATGTTTTTTAACTGTTTCCCCCGTGTTCTTTTCTTCCATATTTGTTGTATACGTTCACGGTTTTTGTTCTTGCCAATACAGAATTTTATTTCGATTACATTACACTCATTTGTTCGCTTTTATATACTGTTATATATTCGTGTCACTGAAAATATCGCATACAGAGGATTCTAAGTATCAGTATATATAAATACTATCATCTCTTGTCTTTAAAAGCAATAGATTATTTCTACATGATCGCCTACAAATAGACTGGTTTCAAAAATACTAAGTATGCAACGTTAAGAGTGCAATTGTTATTTGTCAATAATTTTATTGTACCCATATGTGAAGGTTTTTGTATTTCAATTTTTAAACATGGTGATGTATATCACCAAGAGGAAACTACAATTGGTTTTGGAAATAAATATGAGATATGTGTGATGCTGTTTTTCTCAATTGTATAGAAGTGAGATGGTCGTCGCAAAACATTCGTTCCAAAGTCGTAAAGTATGTAAATTAAAAAGGTTTCATCCATCACTTTTGTATTTTCCTTTTTTTTCTTAATATTTTATTTTAGATCTATAGCTGCATTAACTTTGATTGCACTGTCAACATTATTTTCTCTACCAACTCCATTGAATCCAATGCAAATTCTGTTTATTAATATACTTATGGATGGACCTCCTGCTCAAAGCTTAGGCGTAGAACCACCAGATCCACATGTAAGTCAAACAGGTGGACACATCCGTTGTAGTGCTGTGTATAAAAACAAGCAGTGGAATACAGGATGCGCATTTCATCCCATTTGGGACTCGTCATCTGGATGTACCTGCATTCCGCAGTGAGTGATGATGTTCCCACCGAAGCTCAAGCCGAATCGATGGGAAAATCTAAAATTGAACTAAATAATATGAGCCGTTGCACAAGAGGTGGCTATCGTGGCCCGAGTTGTCTAGTGGATAACACTTTGACGTTTGAAACTATGGTCACTGGGTTCGAGCCTCGGTGGGAACATCATCACTCACTGCGGAATGCAGGCACATCCAGTGACGAGTCCTAAATAGGACGAAATGCGCATCCTCGATTCCACTGCTAGTCACCATCCACCAATTAACCTTTAATTACATGCCCAGACATCGTCGAAGCATCTGCACAAGAAGCCGACGTGTCAACCTGAGATCGAGCACTTCGATCCAATCAATCGACGGAAAAATCTAAAAGTGAATTAAATAAACTACATATGAATGTTTTGTTCTCCTCCGTATCAAATTTTACAGTTCTTACTAGAATTCATCTCTTAATAAGTTCATTCTGTATATATCTATTGAAGACAACGATCAAGATGTCGACAAGGCCAGTGAAGCCATCACAATCAGATAATCCAGGTTCACAGTTCATAACAATACCAAAATCACACAGCGAAGTCATAAATCTTATCCATTAAATGTAGCTTAGAATTACCAGTTTTCATATTTAGATTGTAGTGTTAAAGTTTGCTGTTAACTCATGTATAATAGTCGTTGGCTGTTATTATTGTTGAACGTTTTAAGAGCAAAAGCAGATTTCTATGTGCTAAAACAAATAGGTTAACTTATGGTAAATTAACAATAAATTCGGTCATAGTGTAACATCAAATCAGGTGCGTGACAATTTTACACTCAATAACTATATTCTGTATTGTAACCGAACTTTTGGTTAATTGCACAAAACAAAAAAGCTGTAATGAACTTTTAAATGACTATAGGACCACATGTTTATTACAGTTAACCTATTTAGCGTTTGAATTACTATTACTATCAATAATCTTCACACTTCCCTGAGTAAATTTATTGCTAATCGAAATTTTAAAGCTTATTAACAAACATGCATACCCTCAGTGTTTGTAGTCTTCTGTTATGACTTCTTCACTTTCTAACAGTGTCTATTAAGCTCTTTCGTTTTCTATGATGGTAATTGATGATTAGCTGTGGTTAGCATTGGTATCAAGGATGCACGTTTCATCCTATCTAGAACTCATTAGTCGAATGTCCCAGCATTTTCATTGAGTGTTGGTGTTCCCTTGTGAGACTTGAACCCTGCACCTCTCTTCTCAAACTCCATGGCTTTCTTTATCCAGTGGGCTATTGAGTCATTAGAGCTAAACTCAAAAAATAATGTTTACTTTTCTTTCCTAATTCTATGAAATCTGTTTAACAACTCAATTGATACTGTTTGCAGACCGGCTAGACTGTTGTCTAAGACAACTTACCAGCCTTCCTTCTTCAGTCTTTTTATCACATAAACTTGGATTTTGTGGCTATTAACTCAAGTCAAAAAATCGTTCACCTCAGTTTGGAAATTATAAAGATTCTTCCTATCACTCACGTTTTATAATAGTATCAGCTTTTGAAGACGAAATTACTGGCAACTGAGTAAACTGTAGAAACTTTTATGGAAATTTAAGCAACGGTCCATTGATTTGAAAAATTTGTCGATCAACAAACCATATTTGTAACCCCTATGTAATTTTCACTTACCTTTACTGTCTATTTGTGTTCTATTATTCATGGATTTTTATAACTGTAGAGCCTGGGGAAGTTATCGAAAACAATTGTTTGTTCAAAAGTCATCTTGTTCTGATTACACTATGGGAATATTTAATTTACTGAACAAAAAATAGCAGTTAGAATTTCAGTTTGTTCAAAGTAAAAACTGCAAAGTTAAAGGTGTGCTCATAAAAGTTTATGAGCAGTCGTGAAACGCATTGTAAGCAATAGCCAGAGATCCGAGTAAAATGAAGTCGCGCCACTGGGACCCTATGTTCCATTTGGAACTCAAAGGCTTGAATAATAATAAGATGATTATTATGTATTTAAGCGTCGTAGGTGGGGGTGGTAGTACGTGGTCGGCTAACATTCTGTTCTGTTGATTACTCTATAGAATGTTAAAATTACACATTAATTCATGCGACAATTCAACTTCGCAACCTTGTCACTATGTAAGACCTTTTTGTTCCTAGTAGTCAGAACTTCTTACATGTTCTTGATCAGTCTTATTGAGAAAGGGATCGATTTTTTAGTTTACTACTGATCATTTTGAAAATCGAACCTCAGATGATACCTTCTTTTGACTGAAGTTATATTTTCGTTGTCACATTTATTCGTTTCACTTAATTCGTATTGGGTAAATACGAAAGTTTTCTATTCATTTTCTTTCCATTTAAGGTGGTCAGACAACCTCCCAGACGGGCTAGAGACTCTATTTTGGATGGCCGTTTAATGTGCAATGTGCTGACAGCCTCATCTCTTATTGTCGCTGGTACATTATGGATATTTTATAGAGAATTATCTGATGGGAAAGTTACACCACACGACACAACCATGACATTTACATGCTTTGTACTTTTTGATATGTTCAACGCATTGAGTTTTCGATCACAGGTAAGTTTTATGCTTTGTTTGGATGTGATGTATTGAGCAATCATTGCCTGAAGTAACACCCGTAAATAAGCTAACCTAAAGTTCGTTAAAATTACTGAAGGCTGGTTACAGTTTACCTGTTTGTGTTCTCTGTCCCTGGAACTGCATTAGCTAGTAGGGTTTTTACTAACCGTGAACTATCTGGGCCGGTCAATAACTATTTACTTTAGTTTGTTACAGTTAATAATCAACAGCCTCATATTAATAGCATTCTTCTGTAGGCTACCTTTCTTAATTTTACCAATGGAAGTCAGAAACACAACTTATCTGTTAACTTGTTAAAATTCTTGTATATTTAAAAAGCATTATAACAGTCACTAATCAAGGTCAATCATTATGCTAGTTGCAGTCATTGAGCGCCGCCCAAGCATTGACTTCATAATACATTGCCGTATGTCACACTCCTTCAATTATACGTCACCGATCTCTCTGGGATCTTTTTTACGGAGGTTTCTTTGTACCCTACATCATAAGGCTATGTATGCATGCCAGATCACGCAAAACTAAGCGGTAATCTCTCAAATTTGTCTAGAAAACCTATAGAATCGCAAATATCTTATTCACTGATCTTATGCAGATATAGCGAACAATTCTAAGCATGGATGAAATAACCGTCAAGTGTTGTTTAGTCCTGGCAAATTTGATGGTGATGCCTTGAAATCAAGCCATTCTTCACAAACTAGGCAATTATGTATTGAAGTGTGTGACATTATTTCACCAGCCTTTGATGCATCAGTACGTCTCATATATTGAAGCCACCTTACTAGTGCTTTTGCGTTTTCCTGCTAGTAATTTCATTTGTTCAGCATATCCTTGCGATACGACCACAGGTGTCTTTAACTTCCTTCCTATCTATAGCTTCGTCTGTGATTGTGAACACCTTAAAAGTGACTGTTTCTATTGTTTGATCAGTCTAAAAGCATGAAAATAATTTCATGACAAGAACATGCGGTTGACTTCAGTGCTTAGCTGTTATTCATTCCTGCTTCACTTACTGGGGTTTTGAATGGCCAGAAATTGTTGATTCGCCTTAAACAGTAGTTGTAGACACAACCTTTAATGAACTTTAATGATAATATATATATATATATATATATATATATATATATATATATAAAGTAAGGGTCAACTTTACTTCCCCTATTTAACTGAAGTGCGAAGTCAGTGGTTAACTTTGAATACACCGATCATTAGTTACTACCTTAACACAGTAGGCAGTCTTGCACATCGCAATGGCCAAACGAGTTACACTAGCTTGAAAAAAATGTCCCTGCATGTTGTCCCATAGCGGCAGGGTCGCTTGGATAGCGGTTAGATTAAAAAAGCAGTTACCATCATACTGTGAATTGCTTATACTATGTTGAGAGTCTAAAAACGAGGTCGTACTTCTTGTGAATGGGGGTGTAACTGCGGTAATGTATTCGCATCAGTAAGCTAGCTAGCTATGCTACCTCATTTATGCAAGCGGGAGGGTTGGAGAAGGTCAGTCCCCAAAATTGTACATCCCAACTTTACCTTATGGTGGTCTGTAACCGGAGATAAGGTCTTTATACGGACACAACTCCAAAAACCACACCTGTGTTATGCTTACAAACACAAAATGTTCATTCCCAATCTGTTTGTTTAAATACTTGTAGATACGGTTTGTTATTGTTCTTGGTATTTATTTATTCATTCATTCCCCTTTTTTTTCTGCTAGAGCAAGTCGATTTTCTCATTGGGATTTCTAACAAATCGTGTGTTTGTACTAGCGGTCGGCTTATCACTATTTGGTCAGTTATTAGTAATCTATTTTCCACCTTTACAAGCTGTCTTTCAAACTGAAGCCTTAACATTAAAGGGTAAGTATATGTATGTCAAAATCAAAGTAAATAACTTCGTTGTGACTTACTTGTATTTTCCTCATAATCGATTGAGATTATTTATTGTTGAATAGTGGCCACTGTAAAGTTAGTTAGTTTCAGTGTACTTTCAATGTGTTGTTTTTTATGCAAGCCGTCTGCCTTTATTGTACTCTTCCTTTCAGTAGTGTTACCTGAATTTACTGTAAAATCGGAGTGAAAGAAAGTCTTCTTTTACGTAGCAAAATATTGGTCAGAAACACAATGTTATTTGACAATGTGTTAATTACTCATAGTTTAGGCCTTCTTGTGGAATTGATGAAAAGAATAATAAACGACAAAGTTTTCTCTTCTGGAAATTACATAACGCCCTATTTATTGACTAGGTGAATCAGAATTTCATCTCTGAATACCTTTATTATCTATGAAGGAAAAAAAATGACTAGACAAAGATGATGATAAGTACAGTTTACTTGGGTCCAGATAGCGTTTTCTGGCAACTAACACATTAAATTACACTCATAGTACTAGTTTCATTTTCTTCTGTGCTGTAGTCTTCAGTGAAAATCAAGTAAGCTCATGCAAACAGGCTACCTGCAATATCACATATATTTGTGACCCTGACCTAATGTGAATGTATATTTTTGTTAAAGGTAATAAAGATGACTCTTTTTTGACTTCTGGCACTCACATATGGTTTCATATCAACATTAACAATTATATTAAACCAAGTGATACTCTAGTTTAGTGATATATATATATATATCCTGAGTAATAACTATGTTATATCGATTTCAGCAGCCGCACAACAGCAGTCTCTTTTGTAGAACACGTCTAGCTAATGGTATTAGTAGTAACACAGTAGATAGTATTTATTTTCTTAAACAAATAACTGTTTTATACCGTAAGCATATGACTATAACATTATTTACCCTCTATCTTACATACATACAGATCTAGGCATGTTGGTTTGTTTAACATCGTCTGTCTTCTTTGTGTCTGAGTTGCGCAAACTTATCCATATTCGAAAACCTGTTCGACATTGGACAACACACCTTCTGTCTTATATCAAATTACCTAAACGCATGAAAATGGATGATAACATGGTATGACGGATATTTTGATGATGCTTTTCAAATGGAGAATAACACACTGTCGCACTGCAGCGTCGTCTACCTTCTTTGTATAACGATTGCAAGAAGAAAGAATAGAATGAGTAAACATATTTTTATTGCCTTATTTGTATACATCAGCCCCTTTTTTGGTTGTTTGTTTGTTTGTTTTTATTTACACACACGCATATGTTGCCTCATGATGAGAGAAATAAGCATTTGTTTGCTGAAAAAAATACATCAAGTCTAATCATTTTTGAGTGCCCCTCTCTGTGACAATAACTTTAAACCGCTGATTCTTAACACATTCTACCATGATTAATAGATATGCTGTTGAGAGGTTTAAAAAATATGACACATACTCATGCACATGATGCCTTTGATACATACCATCTGTGAGAGCTAGCTACTCGTTAACTAACTGAAACAGTGAGTAAATTGACAAGTGGTGAATCTTCATCTCTGCTTTAAACTATTCTTTCTTCATATTTTATATGAACCAAGTGAGATTTTCTCTGTTTTGGTTGCCTATTTTCACAAACAGGTTTTTGCTGCTTTGTGTGTGTGTGTATGTGTTCGATTGTAAATAACCACTACTTTAAAGCCTAATTTACTACACCTTTAGAAGATAACTAACTTTATATTATGAATAATAGTTGGCTTATTTTGCTGCATAATTCCCTTGATCTTTCTCCTCTAAGCCAAGTTGTCTGGTTCGTGTTCCCAGTCTTTCTCTCTCTCTTTCTTGTCAATGTTTCCTCTTGTCTCCCTCCGTTATAGATCGGACCGTTGACCGTTTTTTTGAACCTTTGTTGTTTTGTGTCTTTCTTTATTTGTCTTTCTTTTTTTTGATAGTATTCTCCAACTTCACACATATGTTTTATGTACTGGCTGATCTTTTTACATTTGATTATTATTGTTAATATTTCCTCAAAAAAATGATACATTTAGTTTTAATTTCAGTGAATTTGCTGCTGGATACCGTGGCCGGTAATTATTGCTTGTTACAACTGATTTCACCGGCAAAACCGGCACTTTTTTTTCCCTATCTCATATCTTCCAGTTCCTATCTTGATTTCACTGTACGTCTTTCTGAAGCGAGAAAGCACAATGCTGGATAAATGAATAAAACACTAAACCGATTGTTCGCGGTAAAATCGAAAAAAATATATAAAAAGAAATCAATTTTGTTGGAAGTTCAAATTTTATTTTCTCTTTTTCCCTAATGTTGTTTATTATCGGTGAGGTTTTCTCGATCAGTAGACTTCAGGAGTTCATCAGGATAAGGTTGAAGTCAGCAACCAGAAGGGTGTTAGATAATGCATACAAAATGCCTCATCATCAGTATTTTCAAGACGTATATAGTGAATCTGATGTGTTGTGCGCTTAGATACAACAAGCAACCATTGTCAAAGACTTCAAGAAAATTCATTGTGCGATACATCTCTGAAATAACGGCTAGAATATTAAGACCGTTTGATGAACTAGATATAGCACACAAGCCAGCCAGAACAATCACTTCATTCGATATTGTGCAGACCGAAAGATCCAACAGAAAAAGAAGATAGGATTAACACCATTTAAAAAATAAACTGTATGAACTGCAATAAACATTACATCAGTCAAAGTGGGCATCCCCTTCGACTCAGAATTCAAGAACGTAAATTATCTGTGAAAAGGCACGATATGTATTCTTTTGTATCGATGCATGTAGATAATTACGGACACGAATTTAATTCGGATAATGTAGATACCTTAAATATAGGAAACACCAAAAAAGCAGTCAGGGTATTTCTAGAAGCCTAGTACCGAAATGAATCAAACAAATTTACCAACTAATAAAAAGTAAATCACATGACAAGGAAGTTCAAATTCCAAGTCAATAAAAATTGAACAACAGAGACGAAAATTAAAAGCTAGTCATGACAGTGGTTGCCAGGACATGTAAATAAATTATAGTTCATGGAGAATTCAAACAAGTTAATTTTATACTAAAACATGCGCCGAAGATTTTGTCTGGAAGGACAGCAAAAGCTCCGCAATTAAATCAACCAGCTCAGAGAACACAACTAAACCAAAATAAAGTGTTTCCGTTTCATACTAGTATAGATTAAAAGAACATACAGTGATATGATATTCATGTTAAACCACAGTTACGAATCTCGTGAAAACTCACATCGATAGTTTGGATGTTCTCATATTCACCAATAATTAATCGGACGAAACGGTAGGATACCATAGAGACCCTTCGCAAAACGTTAGCAATATGGACAATATCACTGGATTGTACTAGATGGAGAAACTTTGAGTATTTGAAAATTAGTCAGAGTGTTAGAATTAATTTATCCATACCAAATTTCTATGTGTGAGGGCTAATGATATTATTCATTTGTCGACGCTGAAGTAGGTGGAGTGGGACTCGTGCCCGGGACCCATTGACCGAAAATCGACTCCCTTAAACCGATGGGCCATATCTCCACGATTTGACAGCTATTTAAATATTGAAATGTTGTCTCTGTACGCTTTTTCTAGAATAATACATTTAAGAAAACTGTGTGAGTTTTATGTATGCACTGAATAAGAATTTTAACTGAACTAGCCTCAGAAACGAACCTGAATAAATCGTATAAATCCCACCTTAAGATACTGATTCACCTCTACATTCAAACAAACACGTATACATAAATGATAAGCTTCGAAAACTAAGGCAAATCAGAAAAGCATACTTGTACTTTTTTATTCCTTTTCGTTCCAAATAGGACACAGGTCTTCAATTTTTAGTGATATTTCGGTAGTAGTGGTGTTGTTTTGTTCTTACGGAGTGAGGCAGCTAGCTAACCTCACGCCTTCAACAAGTACGCGCTTCAGTTCAGTCAGACATGCTGAAGTATACACACTGAAAGGACAGAGAACGAGTTTTTATGTTTCGTTGAAGGGATAGCTAATAAGAAATTAAAATCAGCAATTTTACGATAAGCCGGAACAGTCAGAGATATTTTAAGAATACTGTTTTAGACTAAAGATCTGTAATGCTATTCGATATATTCAGACGAAAACACATTACTTTTAATTTTAAACACCTAAGTAGATCAGTCTAAATTGAAAACCTTTTAAAACCCAGGTTACTTAAGAGTCATGGAAGAACATGTGGATGCATTAGCATGTCTATACACACACACACACACAGAACTTTGTTTCCACATATACAACAGCAATCCCTTCTGCCATACAAAGAAGTGAAGATGAATTTACAGTGAAAATAGGGAGAGCAGTAAAGTATCATATGAATAGGTGATAAAGTGGACTGATGTATAACCTCCATCGATTAAATATCTTCAAATTGCGCTATGAACATACTTTAGATTTTATCAGTTGAACAGGTAAATCTCTAGAAAGTTGTAACAGTTATGTTGCAATTACGAACCTACTGTACATTATTGTTCAGTAGCCATGTTTAACATTCATCTAATCACTTTATGGGTTTATGTGTCTTTTTCGTTAAAAGTGTAGTCAAATATCGAGACTAGTGAGACTTTGACGAAGATTTCTAATTGAAAAAAAGCAACAACAACTGGCGAAAACGTTTAAAACCCATCCAAGGTTATGGCTATTGTTATTGCTTTTTTCAAATTCACTTTATAAAAAAGATATATATATATGTATATGGGGATACTTGATGTTTGCTAATTTCTGTTTATTGTTATTCCAGGTTATTAGACGTTGTTGAGACTAATTGTAATCAATAATATGCTTTTGTAAATAATAATTCCTGCGGTACAATATGTATATTTTTTAAAAAGTTACATACGCTTGTCAAGAGTGTTGTTTGACTGTTCTACAAAGCTACACTGTAAATTGATAGATTTATCTGAAATCATAACAAAACTAAGGATAGAATTCAATGTAGACTTATGTCAATACTTTCAAGAAGAATAAGAAGTAGTAGAATTTCGAGGGATAAACGAAAGCTGCACAAAAGTCGATTGCACAATTATGATTTAGATGCTAGTTACTGGTACGAATCGAAAGATAGTAGGATTTAGCGTCTTCAAATGATCAAATAATGTATTTACTTGAAATTATTGTTTCAACGGTGGTGGGAATAATTCACTCTATTTATTCTACCTTGTACTAATGTGGTGCATGCTACTGTGATAGGACTTATCAGTAGTATGTAGAGAGACGTTCATCCGCATAAAAATATCAAATGGCGGAGAGATAGATTGGACATCAAAGAGAGTAAATGAACCACTGTTGCAGCAAAACATAGGCGACGCAAAAGAACACAATACGAAGAGTAGAAGTAGCACCATGTGGAAGATCTGTGCAAATGCCGACTTTCAGATTAAGTGTATATAATTTCACTTTATAGAGATATCAAAATTCAAATAAACATTCTATTACCAAGTTTCTCGTCCCTTACCGCTACACTAATACGTAATCTGAAATCTCTGGTAAAAATGTTAAGACTTTTTATCTGGAATCAAGAAGTATGAGTTACTAAATTGTAGAGAAAATGTAAGTCGTTGGAATGGTTCATAACAGATTTGATGAAGGAGACTTGTAGCTCAGGCGGATGATTTTGGGCAAGTTAGGCTCTCTCAGCTGATTGTTTAGGTATAAAGCTTCCATTGTCTTTCTAGGTAACGTCTTCAAGTTTGAATTTAAGCGGAATTAAAATTTTGCGATCCTCCATGAATGAAATAATCGTCTCCTGATGAACACGAACGTAACTAGTTGCCTTCTGAGATTTACTCATCTACTTGTTCCCTTGTATTGGTATTGTTTATTTTGCTGACCTGGTATTTGACCTTTTTTCCATGTGATTCTTATTTCATTATCTGAAAAGTCTCTTTAGGTAAAGGAACTAAATATGTTCGATGTGTGTCTCTGGACTATACATTTGTTTTTGACTCTGTACCCAGCTGTCTTTTGATAAATAAACTTTCCTTGACACAAACCTAGTCCTGGGCTGATTATTTGCTGCACTCTAACAGAATACACTATACTGTATATAAAGGCAAATCCTCCTTTGACTTGCTTACTGAAGCCGGTGTCCCTCAAGGTGCCATTCTGTCTCCTCTTCTTTTCTTTGTCTTCTTACTTGACTTGCCTCTTTCGAACGAAACTAAGTTTGTTCAATATGTTGACGAACTGACTAACTCGTTGCATATTATTTCCCACTCTTCCTGTTTCAAACTGAATAGCTTTTTGTCGGACATCAGCCAGTGATCTAGGCTAAATGGTCTTACCTTAAATCCTTCCAAATGTCAGACAGCTTCACCTTAAGGCATAAACGTGCGTCGGTGGCATAGTGGTTAGGACGCTCGCCGACTATGCACATGGTCCGGGATTCGATCCCCGGCCGGCGCACTCCTTACCTTGCTAAGCCAGAAATAATATAATGCTGGTGAAGAGGAAAGGTTGGGTATGAGGCTAGTAACCCCATCCTGTAAAATAAGCACTGCTACAGAAACTTCAAGCCACTAGCTTGAAGCCCTATGTTCCACAGGGGAACGTGAAGGAAATAAAAAAAAATAGTTCTGTCCTCTGATCTTTCTTAGTCATCCCATACCTTGTCGACTTCTAAGAAAATGTTCCATCTAACCGTCTACATTAAGAAGTTAAGCCAATCCGCTATCACTCAACCTCTACTTTTATAGTTTGCTCTCCTTAGTCATCCCTGGACTACTCAAAAAGGACTTGTCACATTGTGAAGGCTTTTAAAGGTCGTTAGTAGGACAATTTGTGTACCACTAAGTCAGCGCGTTACTACTGTAGTCGGCAGACATCTGAACTCATGTGAGAAATGATCTAAATCCATACTGTTTGACTTTCAGCACCCTCTTTACTCACAACTCTTCCCTTGCATCTCATCAGGCAGGACTAGAAATCATTATAAAAGATTATATGCTCTGTACAACCAGCGTTCTATGTGACAGAGAAAGTGTTGAGTGTGAATTTTATAACTTACTGTGTGATTAGTAAAATTAATAGCACTTTTATCTTCTCCCATTTGTAATTTATGGTGAAACTATTTCAATTATCTTAAAATTCTAGTTATTATTATCACTACCATTTTCTACTTTCTGAACATTTCTGACTTTTTTGTTACTACTAATGCCAAAAACGTTGCTGTTATCAGTTTTGTCTACCTGTACCATGTAATGTTTTTGAGTAAACTAGATGCAGTATGGTACCAAATGCTCATTATTATTAATATTATGATTGTTAATACGTCTGTTGATTGTA